TCTCCTCCAGTGCTGTACGTCGACAACAAGGCCGCCATTGCCTTGTCTCAGAAGCACAGACTGGAGCACAGAACAAAGCACATCGCTCTGCGTTACTTCCTTGCTCAAGAGCTGCAGCAGCGTGGTCAGCTTCGCCTTGCTCACGTGGCCACTAGGTCCAACACTGCTGATATATTCACCAAGGCACTTCCGTCTGGTTATCATCAGCATTTTTGTGCTTTGTTAGGCCTTGTGCCCACGTTTTCTCACTTGCTGTAGACTTTGTCTGTACTGTGATCCATATATATACCTGCATGTTTGCTCTGTTAGGTAGAGATCACTGTACTGCTGTTGTTGCATATATACCTCTGCATGTGAACTGGCCTTGTGGCCATTTGCTTGTGCTCAGTGTGTGTGGTGACGTTGTGATCCACCCTGAGCTTGTTTTGCTTCTCTTGACAGGTCTGATGACCCCTTGTTCTCCCCCGCTTTGCCTATGGGGGTGTGTCAAAGTATATGCATGTTATATCTGTGTAGGCTATAATGGGGTAGCCAATATGGGGTACAGCCCCGTTTAGGGTTTCATACTTGTACCCAACTCTTCCATAGTGCATCCATTCCTGCTGCTAGAATCTAACACTTGCTTGTGCTCAGAATGCGTGGTGATTTTGAGATCCACCCCGGACTTTGCATTGCTTTGTTCTCTTGCCTCGACTAGTCTTGTGACCGTTTGTTGTGTTGGTTATCCATCACTTTGCCTATGGGGTGTGTCAATTAATCATATTTTGTTGGTTATGCTAGGCTATAGTGAGGTGCTCAGTATAGAGTACAACCCCAATTAGGGTTTCATACGTGTATCACCTTGTTGCTAGTTCAACCTCATTCCTGCATAGTTGACTCTCGACAAGTACTGTGCATAGTGCGAGGCTACAGTGCTCGCGAAACCATCCAACACGAAAAAAATGCCACAACACCTGCCGGACGGTGCCAATGCGCCGAACTGTCAAGTCGGACAGTCCTGCCCGTTTGCAAAATAACGGATGGTCCACAAAAAACCCAAAAATCAAAATGGTTATACGCCCTTATAGTCACAGTAGGCTTAAATGTGCCTAAAACGAAAGATAGAGAGTATAGACGGATTTCGGTAGAGCGGCTTCAAACATTGATATTGTTCTGGTCACAACACCAAATGAAGTGCTATAAATTGGATCTGGAGCTTGTTCACGTTGCCTACAATTTGAAAGTCGAATCACTTCATTTGATAAAAAACTGACGACGTTAGAGTAGTTTAACCAAACAGTGGTCGAACAGCAACTATAGTCTTGGAGTATAACTTAGGAAGAAATGACGAGCTGGGAATGACTCCCAGCCTCTACAAACCCTAAGAGCCAAGTTCCAGGGTTCTGGAACAGTGTCAAACAGTCCCCACCCTTGAAAGGTGTGGAAACCTCCCACCACAAGGGTCTATACCAAGAACTATGTTACACTACACAACGCAATGTAACTATTCTCAATATATTGATGTTTACCGTTTTGCCGAGCTCTTAAATCACTTGATTCTTGCAACCAATTCTCTGATTTTTCATCATAAATGCCTCCTTGAGTTCTTCAAGGCTTGCTTCTCACACCTGCGTCACGTCGAACGTTCGACACACGACAAAATAGAAAACGCACTCGATACGCAAACGACAACGTGACACGCGAATAGCGATAACTTGCTATTCACTTGACACGCACATTCGACATCATGACTCATCATTCACACACTATTATAAGCATGAAATATATATTATTTCATGCCCTCATACCATTCCATGCACACACGTATGTAGGCACACGGACAACAAGCCGAGTGCGAACCATGAGGTTGCCCCAATAATAATGGCACCCGCGTCCTTCAGCTGCTGGCTCGACCCAACCAATTCCTCCTTATTTGACCCTTTTTTCAAGTAGTATGTGCCTAATCTGACTACCGTAACACCCACATCTGCCTTAATCAGCCCTCCTCCCCACATCTTTGGAAACCTCGCCAGAAGCATGCGGGTCGTGGTTTGTTGTCACGTCACCGTCGCATTGTAATCACTTTGCTCATGCTGGTAGCGGGGGCAGATGCTAATTGTATGGACATCTTGGTCCTTTGGGGTCTTTAGTAGTACGTTCTTCACATACGACACCACATCCAACGAGACCTTTTTGTTACTGGTCTGCTGGGGTCATTTGTTACCGGTCAAATATCTTGCTCTTGTCCTCCCCTTTCTCACCATTAAGGTATTCATTTCTTTTTTCAGCTTCCCTTTGCACTTGATCTCACCCTTGTTCATGTGGTCTGCATCTTCTCAAGTCTCGTCCACGCGTTATATTTCTCCCTAACGATTTCCCCCTTGCTCATGTGGCCCCCCCGGGCAAGTGCACTCTGTCCTGCGTTCTTTTACCCCCTCGCTTCTCCCTCCCCTCTTGTGGCCTAGCTGTACCTATGTTTGCTCCCTTGCCCATGTGGGACTCCTCTCTGCATGTTGCTCTCCCCTGCCCAAACACTCTCTCCCGGCCTATGGAACGTCCTTTGGATAAAACCCCTTCCCCTTACCTCATGATTTTGCCCTCCTAGGAGGTTGTCCCTGGCTTTGAAGCTTACTCCCGCACCCTCCGTCCCTTTATACCTCTCTACCCCAATGTAAACCATGTGCCCATCTGGTTTTACTCTCCTTCGTTATTCCAACTCTATGTTGCCCCGCACGGCTTGCACACTCTCCCATGCCCACAAATCTCAGCTTGTTCTCGCGGCCTTTGCTCGTCCATAAGTACTCCTATACCTGTCCATCCCACTCTATCTCTGTGTCTACATGTACCCCTACTATCCTTTCCCCCTCTAGGAAGTTCTTACATGCTTTTTCACCCCTCCACCCCCACCTTTCACCTACCCTTGCCCTTACACACCCCTGGGCTTATGCGCAGCTGCTCTTCCCTTGTGCTTGCATCATTGATGCCATCCCAGATTAAGAGATCTTCTTCCCATGCAGGTTCCCTCTCCCTCGGTAATTTGCGCTGACCTATGCTTACATGCTCTCCCCTACCCACGCGTCTTGTCCTTCTCGTGGCCTTCGCATGTGCAGGTACTGCCCATAAGACCCTCTTCACTCCTAGGTATATACATACTCATACCGTCCTTTTCTCCCTTGGCAGAAGTGCAATGCTTTGTCCCCCTTCTCCCCCTCACCCATCACTTCCCCCTGCCCATGTGTATCTCTGTGCTCGTGCGCACCTGCTCTGATCTTACTTGCACCATCCTCACCGCCATCCATTACACTCTCCCCCTGCTCAGGAAGGACCCTCCTGCTGATTTGCTCCTTCCTACCTTTCCGTCTCGACTTGCTCACAGGCTGACCTTTCCTCGATGTCCGCTTTCACTTCATTGTTGCCCTATGGCCGTTGTCCTGTTGTTTCCCCTTATTCGTGGCTAGCCTATGTTTATACCATTCCTCCCCCACTCGGTTTCTACTCTCTTCTCTATATATTTGCCCCTTCATTCCGTTCGACTGTTGTGCTCTTTTGCACCTTGATAAAGGTTATGTTAAAACTGTTTTATACACTTTTTCCAGCTCTCGTAGCTCAGTTGGTTAGAGCGTATGGCTGTTAACCATAAGGTCGGTGGTTCAAGCCCACCTGGGAGCGGTTTTCTACCACTTGCCTTTTTCAAGGCAATGATTTGTTCAATCAGACCGACAAGCTGGTGTTCAACAATGCCCTTGTTCGGCTGGGGCGCATAGAGCTCAGGCTCGGAAACCGGCTACAGGAAAACAATCACACTCAATCTTTCCTAGACAATCGATTGAGAGGTTACGGTACCAAGCCCACCTCGGAGCGAATTTCTTCGATTCATTCAACCAATGTTACGGCACAGGAGGCATTTGACCAGCCTTTTGTAGTGGTTTTGTTGCACTCCTCTTCAAGCACCATTGCCTTGCTTCACAATCACTCTGTTTCTTGCCTCTCCCATACCGTCATCGCCCGGATATAAGACAGTGTTGAATAGTAGACAGGGGTTGTCTATTATACGGGTGTCTCTTATAAATAGGCTAGCCTTTTTATACGACACCTATTTGTGTGTACGAGATAAGACATATGTGTCTTATAATCGAAACTGCAATGTATTATAGTGAAAATTGAAATACCGCGTACATTTTTACCCTTGCAACACGCGAATTCTGCCACGTGCTGAGTCACATACTACCAAATTTGACCCTGCAATTATTCGGGATGACGTGGCGTCCCGAACAATGGTTGCCGAAGTGGCAAATTCGCAGCATCGACACTCTTAATGACAAACTCTTTTCAAGATGCGTGAAAATATTTCTAAATAGTTTAAAAAGGTTTCCATTTATAAGACTTATAAGACACCCAACACCTCCCCTAATACAAGATAACCCAAACATTTTTTTTTGTGTATGAGATAAGACATATATGTCTTATATCCGGGCGATGACGGTACCTCCACCTCCATCTTCCTCAACTCTTATTGTGGCTGGGGCCTGGCCTAGGGCGGTGGCTCATGGATGGGACAGATACCGTACCAGGGCAGCCAACCGCATTGAATACTGTACTGATGTTTAGATAGATACGCAGGTCACCAAGGGAACTTCGATAGATACTGATACCGGTAGTACAATCTGAATGTGGTAGCTTGCCTCATTCCACAGAAAATTGCATTTATAAGGTATGTACAAAGAAAACCACATATAATCGGGCAGTAAACAGCAGCACTACACCGTATGCATATCCCTATCAGAACAATCACCACCATTAACAACCGCAGGGGCCAGAGGTAGATGGAGGAGAGGAGGGAGACTAGCTCGCAGCAGCACCTTCCTTTCGAAGAACCGCGGTGGAGCAAGGGGCAATTTTCCATTCCAGCCTCAAATCACTCAGGTCCTCCCCAAACCGCCTCTCGTAATAGATCCCCGCCAGAGGCACTGCTCTGATACCAGCTCCAAGAGCCCAGGAATAGATGGAGGAGAGGAGGGAAACTAGCTCGCAGCAGCACTTTTCCTTTCAAAGAACCGCGGTGGAACAGGGGCGATTTTCCACTCCAGCCTCAAATCACTCAGGTCCTCCCCAAACCGTCTCTCATAGTAGATCCCCAGTAGTGGCACCGCTCTGATACCAGCTCCAAGAGCGCAGGGGTAGATGGAGGAGAGGAGGAGGGAGACTACTAGCTCGCAACAGCACCTTTCCTTTCAAAGAACTGAGGTGGGGCCACAGCAATTTTCCACTCCAATCTCAAATCACTCAGGTCCTCCCCAAACCGTCTCTCATAGTAGATCCCCAGTAGTTGCACCGCTCTGATACCAGCTCCAAGAGCCCAGGGGTAGATGGAGGAGAGGAGGAGGGAGACTACTAGCTCGCAGCAGCACCTTTCCTTTCAAAGAACCGCGGTGGAGCAGGGGTGATTTTCCACTCCAGCCTCAAATCACTCAGGTCCTCCCCAAACCGTCTCTCATAGTAGATCCCCGCTAGTGGCACCGCTCTGATACCAGCGCCCAGCGCCCAGGGGTAGATGGAGGAGAGGAGGAGGGAGCGGCGGGCGGGGGAGAGGCGGATAGGTGCGCCTAGGGAGGCGAGGAGGCACATGGGGAGGCCAGTTTGGGTGAACTCGATGAGCTTGAGGGCTAGTTCTCCAGAGACGGTGGTGGGGAGGGCGAATATGGTATGCCAAAAGTCGTGCACCTCCCTTAGCCTGGAGGAATGGAAAGGGAAGGGGGAAGGATAGAGGGGAGGGAAAGAGCGACGGAAGGCACATAGGCAGGCCGGGATGGGAACAATGGTGAGTGCGTGATCCCCCCCAGACACACGAACGTGACACATGAAGATTCCCCAGCCAAAATCCACACTCCACACCACACTCACCGTGTGTGTGGAGACATAGGCCAGCTCTGGGTCGTCAATGAAGCACACAGGCGGCCGTTCGTGCAGCACCAACCATCCAACCAACCATCCAACCAGCCATCCAACCAACCATCCAACCATGCGCACACAGTAAGTGGGTAATACTCTCACCACCCACACTCACCGTGTGGCCACGTAGGCCAGCTCTGGATCGTCAATGAAGCGCACGGGCGGCCTCTCATGGGGCAAACAGCAGTGAGAGTGCATGAATTGACCGCAGGGTCTTGCCTAGCCATGTACTCTCACCACCCACACTCACCGTGTGGCCACGTAGGCCAGCTCACGGTCGTCGATGAAGCACACCGGCGGCAGTTCGTGGCGCTCGAAGCGGCAAACCACGAGAGAGGCCGCCTGTGTGCTTCAGTGGCGAGGGCGCCTGTGTGCTTCAGTGGCGAGGGCGCATGAAGTGAGCGTAGGCCGCTCCAAATGTCCCCGTCCGTCAGCCAGCCACTCCTCACCCCACGCACACAGGAAGATTCACCAGCCACACTCCGAACTCTTGACTCACCGTGTGGTCACTGCCACATAGGCCAGATCTGGGTCGCCGATGAAGCGCACAGGCGGACGTTAATGGGGCAGGAAGTAGTGAGCACGCATGGAGTGAGCCTTCAAAGGCTGCTCCAAAGGCCCCCGTCAGCCCCCACGCACACTCACAGAGACTCTTGACTCACCGTGTGGCCACGTAGGCCAGCTCAGGGTCGTCAATGAAGCGCACAGGGGGACGTTCGTGGGGCTCAAAACGACGAGAGCGCATGAAGTGAGCGTATGCTGCTCCGAAGGTGCCTCTGCCGCACTGCTCTGCTGCCTGCAGTGTGGTGTCTGTCACCCGGGGTTTCTCCTCCAGTATGGCCTGATGGTGAATGCAACGCAGTTAGATGGGCACGGGGGGGGCAACGGAGTGCAACAAGTGAGCATAGGCCACTCCGAAGGTGCCTCTGTCGCACTGCTCTGCTGCCTGCAGTGTGGCGTCTGTCACCCAGGGTTTCTCCTCCAGTATGGCCTGGCGTTGAATGCAGTTACACAGGAGCATGGGATTGCACGAGGCGGCAAGGGAAATGAGACTTCAAACGTCCCTCTGCCGTGCTCCTCTGCTGCGTGCAGTGTGGCGTCTGTCACGCGAGGTTTCTCCTCCAGTATGGCCTGGTGTTGAATGCAGTTACACAGCAGCATGGGATTGCATGAGGCGGCAAGGGGAATGAGACTTCAAACGTCCCTCTGCCGCGCTCCTCTGCTGCGTGCAGTGTGGCGTCTGTCACGCGAGGTTTCTCCTCCAGTAAGGCCTGGTGTTGAATGCAGTTACACAGCAGCATGGGATTGCATGAGGGGGCAAGGGGAATGAGACTTCAAACGTCCCTCGGCCGCACTGCTCTGCTGCGTGCAGTGTGGCGTCGGTCACCCGGGGTTTCTCCTCCAGTATGGCCTGGTGGCGGTTGGTAGATGGGGTTAAATGCATGGAAAGAAATTCCATTGGGTGAGCATAGGGCGCTCCGAAAAGAGCATCTGCATTGCACAAGGTGGGCGCAAGTTGCTTCGAATCTGCCCGTGCAGGGTCGGTCAGTGCTCCCACTGATGGCCCCACACCAAGTACCTGCTATACACACATGCATGCATATACACACATGCGTACACACACTGCACACGCCCGTCCCTCCTCTATTGCCCTCATCTGCTCTCTGATTCGTCCCAGCGCCAACCCCCCAGTCATCTCCCCCACAGCCGCCACCAGATCCGCCCTAATACACATCCATATGCATACATACACACATGTACACACTAATACCACAACTCACCCTGCCCTCCTCTGTCGTTCTCATTCGCTCCCTAATTCGTCCCAGCGCCATCCCCCCAGTCGTCTCCCCCACAGCCGCCACCAGATCCGCCCGGGCAGGGTTGGCCAGCGCTCCCACTGACGCCCCTATGGCGACTGCTGCTCTTTGGAGAGGGGACAAGGGTATGTGCGAGTCGTATAGGGGGGCTGGGAGGGAGAGGGGCAGGGAGAGGGGCAGGGCGAGAGAGAAGAGAGTATGTAAAGGCACGGGCAGGGCGAGAGAGAAGAGAGTATGTAAAGGCACGGGCAGGGCGAGAGAGAAGAGAGTATGTAAAGGCACGGGCAGGGATGGCCAGAGCTCCCACTGACGCTCCCACAGCCACTGCTGCTCGTTGGAGCGGCGAAAGAGGTATATGCGAGTCGTATGGGGGGGATGGAGGGAAGCCGGGGAACGGTGTGGGCAGGGACAGGAGAGGGAGCAAGGGGTTGTATGAAGGCCCGGACACGGTTGGCGAGAGCTCCCACTGACGCTCCCACAGCCACTGCTGCGCGGTGGAAGGAGGAGAGGGGGACGTGCGAGTTGTATAGGGGGCCTGGAGGGTGGAACAGGAACAGGGGATGGGGCGGTGAAGGCGGGCGGGAATTTGTATTTGGGTTTCAGATCCGCCCGCGCAGGGATGGCCAGAGCTCCTATTGACGCCCCCACAGCCACTGCTGCACGCTGCAAGGGCGAGAGTGGTATATGCGAGTCGTATGGGAGGACTGGGGAGGGCCAGGGGAAAAGTGCGGGGACAGTAGAGAAGGCCGAGGTTATCTGAAGGCCCGTTTAGGGTTTGCCAGTGCTCCCACTGATGCCCCTGACTGCTGCTCGTTGCACGGGGGAGAGGGGACGTGCGAGTCGTGCTACAGGCAGCATGAACTGGAGACGAAATCTTCCTCACAAAAGCACTAATAAGCCGAATCGCACCTAACATGCTTTCAATGCTGGAATTAAAGGCACCACGACATAGGGAAATAAGAAGGCTCGTTTCATGGCATGGTACTGTCGTTGGCCCTTCCTATGCAGCGACAGCTGAACAGGAATCAACGGCTGCAGGCAGCGCGCGCCAATGCTAAGAGCGAGCCGTTCGATGCAGTCGGACGGCTGGACGGTATCAGGAGCATTTTGCGCGAAATGAGAGTGGTTTGGCTTTTGAGAGCAAGATATGAGATTTACCTTCTTCTGATCCAGTAGCTAATCCGCGACATTGAAACTGCTGCTGTTGAAGCGAATCAACGGCTGCAGGCACAGCAAATGGCGGTCTAACGTGAGCCGTTCGATGCAACAGGGACGACAATACAGCGCTAGAGGCTGCTCCGTTTAGCGTCCGCACTGAGCGTCGGAGGAACATGTTGTTCGTCTGCGGAGAGTGAAACAGCGTGTGGCGAGCGAGAAGGTGCGAGGGAGCTGGAGTTTAGATCGACGTAAGACGTTCGAAGGAAGCAAGTTAACTAGCGGAAACGTGCCACTGGTTCTGAGGGACTTTCTACTGCTAATTTCTCCAAGGGTTGACAGTAGAGGCAGGTACCTGAGGGCGCGTCACCTCAACGCCGATCGCAGGATCGATCCTACGTAGGATCGATTTTTTGCGTGGTTTAATTAGCAGCTAGAAATTTCAAACTGCGATGCGCGTAGTTTCAATGTGGTGGAAGATTGAGAGAGGGCATCGAGGACACGGATTATGTAACAAAATTTATTGGTTCAATTCAAACACAGAGAAGCACGAATGCCGTGCTCCACAGCCCATCTCGACTTCACCTGCACGTTCGAAGAACAAGGTGCTTGCGAGACTAACGATGTATCAGCATGTTTTCGCAGTTGTCGTTAACACCCGACTGGAACATCGCGCACGCATTGCTTTGGTCGCAACGTTGCCCTGCTGAAAGAGGGTAACATGCGAGGCGAGGTGGGTGGGTGCTCCTGTGCCATTCCAACCTTGCACTGCACGCGTGTACCAGGGAGGGCAAATGATAGCGCAGAGTTGGAGCAGGACAGGTACCTTCAATTCGATCAGTCATGAGTGCCGCATTGCCGCATTACTGTGGTGTGGAGAAGTCGATGACCGATGAATTCAAGCGAGCGGTTCGACTGAAGTCAGATCCCGCGACTCTGTCGTAGCAGTGTGGCGGACTCGAATTCCGCGTGCCTGACTGATTCGCGTGTCGCGGGCCCGACGGTCCGCCGGCGGCGCCATGACGTCACTGCCATCACGGGACGCGACATCACACGGCCACGACGAAGTGATATATTTAGTAGCTCCCGCGATCACAGAGTCTACGAATCGCCCCGCGATCACAGAGTCTACGAATCGCCCCGCGATCACAGAGTCTACGAATCGCCCCGCGATCACAGAGTCTACGAATCGCCCCGCGATCACAGAGTCTACGAATCATCACTGGCGCAACAGCCATCCTCCGTCCGGCAGCACAGATTTAGCGTCTTCAAACCCCCCGACCGCAACTGACCTTCACGGCGGGCGCCTCACCGCACCCACCCCCCCAGCGTGCAGCCTTGCCTTGCCAACCAAGCCAAGCTCGTTCCTCCTGTCATCCCCACCGCACTCTGTGCCCGTCCCATCTCCGCTGCACTCCGAGCGCGTCTGATCCCCGCCGCCATGGCTTCGGCGGCCTTCCCCGCGCTCTCCTCCACTGTCGCTCCCGCGCCTTCCGCCCTTTGGTCCGCCAATCTCACCGTGAGTTCCCCAGCCCTCCCCAGTCGGCGCGCGATCTCCGCTTCCCCCATCTGCGCGCGCTCTCCGTTCCTCGTGCTTCCATCCCTCCTTTCCCCTCATCCCGCTCAACTCCCCCTCTTCCCCCTTCCGCAGGCGCCGTACCCGACGAACGCGCCGTGGCAGAACTTCGTGCTGGGGCAGGGCGGCAACCCCGAGCTCGTGACGCCGTACGTGGTGCAGAGCGCGGAGGGGCGCGTCGCGTGGGGGCTGCCGGTGCGCGACCCGCAACCGGGGTACATAGTGCAGGCGTTCGTGACGGCGCTCATGCTCTCCACGCTGCAGGGCCTTCCCCCCCATCAGCTCTCCGCCTACGACGACCTCTCCGCCACCCTCTCCTTCCGCCAACCCTCCTCCGCGCCCTCCGATCCCCCCGCGCTCGAGGTCCCACTGGTGCGCGGGTCGCCCTTCCTCACGTTCATATTCCCCCCCGGCGGACCCCCAGCGACGCCCGTGCTGACGACGATTCACGCCATCACGGGTGTAGGGCCCAGCGGCGACAACAGCAAGTACCGCATCGCTCTCAACAACGGCCAGGTCAGCTCCCCGCTCCCCGCTCCGCCCACTCATTACCGCAGCGCAGTACCATTCCCACTCTCGCCTGAACCCCATTCCCTACACTCTTCAAGCACGCACCCACCTCTCGCTCGCTCATTGTCCCACCTATCTCCCCGCTCCGCTTGCTCACGTTTTGTACTCACCACCCCCCTCCCCACTGATTTCCCCTCTCCACCCCTCCGTACCCCCCACCAGACGTGGCTGCTGTACCTGTCGTCGCCACTGGCGATGCGGCAGGACGGGTCGACACTAGCGGCGGATGCGCCATTCACGGGGACGATGCGCGTGGCGCTGCTGCCGAGCGCCTCCCCGCAGGACGAGGAGGCGGTGCTGGACGCGCACGTGCCCACGGTGCCGGTGGGGGGGAGCGCGCTCGTGGGCGCGTTCCGCATCAAGTACACCTGGCGCACCCAGCAGTGGCGCCAGCTGGCTGACGGCAACACCGAGGCGCCGCTGCTCATGCTCTCGCTGCCAAGTGAGTAGCGCTGTGCTGCCACTTGTGTTGCCATGTGTGCTGCTACGTCACCTGGAATGCCCTCATCATCTGTCCGTCAAACTAACCCCCTTCTCCCTTGTTCCTTCTCTGTCCCCTCTCCTCCTCCCTCCCCCATGAGCAGTGCACCGGCGCATGGAAGTGACCGCGCACAGCCCCTCCCTTCCCTCCACCCTCCGCCGTCACAGCAGCGGCTCACCCTCAGGCGCCATGGGCGCCCTCCGCGGCCACCACAACCCCGCCTCTGCCGCCCCCTCCAACGCACGCAGCAGTGCACCATGGTCGTCCGTGCGAGATGCGTCGGTGCCGGATGCGTCAGTGCTGGCATACCCCTCCATCGACGGCCAGGCGGACCACACGGCGTGCAGGGGGCGGTGTGGCGCCTCAATGTGCCCAAGCGCCCCTCCACGTGGCGTGCGGGGCCCCTCTCGTCCGACCCCCAGCTGCTGGACGAGCTGAGGGCCAGCCTCAAGCAGGACGTGGCCGCGCTGCCGCCCCTCTCCTCCCCCTCCACCTACTTCTTCGGCAAGACAGCGGCGCGCGCCGCCCGCCTGGCACTGATCGCGAAGCAGGTGCAAGACGATGACAGCCTGGCCGCCGTGTTGCCGCCCCTGCAATCCGCGCTCTCCGCATGGCTGGACGGCACCTTCCCCGGTAACCGCCTGCTGTACGACCCCACGTGGGGCGGCGTGGTGAGCGAGGCGGGGTCGCTTGACCAGGGGGCGGAGTTTGGAGCGGGCATGTACAACGACCACCACTTCCACTACGGCTACTTCATCTATGCCGCTGCTACCGTCGCCAAGTTCGACCCCGCGTGGCGCGACCAGTACCGTGCGGCGCTCAAGGACCTGATGGCAGACTACATGTCGCCGGAGCGCACGGCGGCATTCCCAAGGCTGCGGCACTTTGACGCGTACGCGCTGCACTCGTGGGCCAGCGGGCTGTTTGAGTTCGGCGACGGGCGCAACCAGGAGAGCTTCAGCGAGGCGGCCAACGCGTACTATGCAGCGGCGCTGCTGGCGTCAGTGCTGGGCGACCAGCCGCTCGCCACGCTGGGCGCCACACTCGCAGCCGTGGAGGCCGTCGCCGGGCAGACCCTCATGCACGTGCCGCTCGGCTCATCCGCCCCGGAGCCGTCCCTGTCGCCCGCATATGAGGCCGTGTTTGCAGACGCCAACCGTGTGGTGGGCGTGCTGTGGTCCACCAAGCGCGATGCACTGACGCATGCGGCCGATGCGGTATGCGAACAAGCGCGATGTGGTCCGCCAAGCGCGATGCGGCGCTGTGGTTCGCCCCGCCGGCGGACATGGAGAAGCGTGTGGGCATCCAGGTGCTGCCCGTAACGCCCTACCTCAAGCACCTCTTCCCTGACCCCGAGTTTGCTAAGCAGCTGGTGGAGTGGGCGCAACCCGTGCTGAGTGGTGCCGCCACGGACGAGTGGCGCGGCTTTGCGTGGGCGCTGCAGGCGCTGTACGACCCGCAGGGGGCCAGGGCGAACATTGCTGCTCTAGGTGCTTTTGATGATGGCAACTCCAAAACAAACATGCTTTGGTGGCTCGCTTCCAACATGCCATAGTTAGTAGGTGATGTTGTCTATATTATGTTGATGCTCGTGCATGTACAGGATACCGTATATGTCTATTGTAAGAGCGTCATGTAACCTGTTGAAGAGATTTCTACCTGTACTCATCCCTGAAATTACCAATTACAGCAATGGGGTCCTGGACTCCACTGGTAACACTGATACCGGCAAGTCTAACATGCAAGGGTAACCCTTGCCAGATCCTCATCGCCCGATCGCAAGTCAAATATGAAAGGGACAGTATGGTCAATGAATGAGTCCTGTTGAAGTGACCTCTACCTGTACTCGTCCCCGCAGTCACCAATCACAGCAAGAAGGTCCCGGCCTCTGCTGGTAACACTGGTGATCCTTGCGCGATCCTCATCGTCCAATTTCAAACCAAAGATCACCTTGTTGTCCGCGATGTGCTGCTGCAGGCCCAGCCTCACGCCCACCATTGATGCTGCCACCGATGGCTGCTTTGGCAGGAAGGGGGAAAGGGAGCGATAAGAGCAGGGGAGATGGGCATTATAATGTCAAGTTGAATTCATAGATCCTGTTGTCTGCGATGTGTTGCTGCAGGACCGCCATTGATGCTGCTACTGCCGGCTGCTTTGGCAATAGATGGGAAGGGATGCAATGAGAGAAATATGGTTATTATGTTCATCCCTGTTGCGAGTCAAGATCTTCTAGTTGTCTGCGATGTGTTGCTGCAGGCCCAGCCTCACACCCACCATTGACACTGCTACTGGTGGCTGTTGTTTTTTGGCAGGAAGGGGGAGAGGGAGCGATAAGAGCAGGGTAGAACGGGAATTCGTTATGTCCCAGTTGCAAGTCAAGTACAGTTTTGTGAATCCACATTCACCTGGTAGACAATGGAGTGTACAGCCGCTGCAGAAAATTGTAATCCTGTGCTTCTTGAGTGTTTTTAGAGCCACCCGGTGTGTGTGCATATGTGCTATGTTGCACATGCTTGAGACAGTTACCTGGTCGAGAGTAGAGCGCACGGCCACTGCAGCGATTGTAACCCCGTGCTTCTTTGCCACTGTCTCACACTCCCTCAGGAGCTCCTGGAACAGCGCCCACCCGCCCCACGCGTCCACCATCTGCGTAAAACGGTGGGATGATGGGGGTGGGTATGAGAGGATGATAGGAGGTAGGTAGAACAGATATGTATGCGGTAGGAGGCAGTCTCACACTCCCTCAGAAGCTCCTGGAACAGCGCCCAGCCGCCCCACACATCCACCATCTGAAAAAAACGGGCATGTGTGGGGTGGGGAAGAGAGTGTGTGATGGGAGGTACAACGGTTTTGTATGTGCTGCTTTTGAGTAGACTCAATAGAAGCAAGGCAGGGGGGCCTGCATCTACTCCTCCTAATTCTCCGACTCCACCATGCCGTTTTCCCCTCCGCTTACCGCTTGTACTTTCTGAGAGACGGAGTGGCAAGGCAGAAGAATGAAAAAGAGGGGCATATAGCAATTTCTAGATTGACTATTTCACACCTGCTTGTACTTGTTCAGAGAGGGAGTGGCGAGGCGAGGACCGAACATGCTGTTGGGCTCCTTGGCGTGCAGGTACTTCTCTGATAGAAGCCCTCCCATTACAGTGCCGTACCTATTTTGCCAAGGGGAATGAGAGTAGATATAAAGAATTGAGTGTACCTATTCCATCGTATAATCAAACACTCACTTATTCACCTCACAAGCAAACAGTACTCCATTCCAGCTATGTTCAATGGAGGCACAAACTGCAGCTGAGTGAAAGTACAAAGCTTTTTCATGTGCTGCTGAGGCAGCAGCAGAATCCATACCATGCATATGTACACATATGAATACATCCATACCATGCATATGTACACATATGTATACATCCATACCATGCATATGTACACATATGTATACATCCATACCATGCATATGTACACATATGTATACATCCATACCATGCATATGTACACATATGTATACATCCATACCATGCATATGTACACATATGTATACATCCATACCATGCATATGTACACATATGTATACATCCATACCATGCATATGTACTGTACTCATGCTCTCACACACTATGAACACAGGATTCCATTCCACCAATTTTTAGACGTCTCAAAACATTCCACCTAAGTTAAATAAGATCGAGTGCGGTAAGACCGCCAAGCTTTGCCATCTGCTGCTGTGGCTGCACCAAACTCTGTGCCATGCACTCGTGCCCTCACCCACTCCCTCCCTCACTCATTCACTCCCTCCCTCACTCATTCACTCACTCACTCACTCACTCGCTCACTCACTCACTCGTGCACCCCACATGCTGAAGGGGCCACACCCGGCTCGTGCTCGTACCCTGTACTCGTGCTCGTACCATGTACTCGTGCTCTTACTCAGTCATGTGCATACGCTCACTATAAGCCACTCACGTAAATCAACTTCGTTATAAGCCACTCACGTAAATCAACTTCGTTATAAGCCACTCACGTAAATCAACTTCGTTATAAGCCACTCAAGTAAATCAACTTCGTTATAAGCCACTCGCAAAATTCAACTCTCGTTATAAGCCACTCACGTTATAAGCTGCACCCCTGTAAGAGCACAGAGCTGAGCCATTTGCTGCTGTGGCCGCATGTCCACCAGGCTGTGCTGTACCTGCAGTGAGAATCACAGGGGGGAACGGGATTAGGGCAATGGGGGTTGGGTTAGGGTGGAGATGGGGTGATCAACTTATGTGCTGCTGCGGCCACACGTCCACCAGGCTGTGCTGTACCTGCGGTTTGAAGCACAGGGAGGATGAGGGTTTCAGGCAAGAGGGGATTGAGTTCGGTTGTGAAGGGATCAGGTGGGTGTGGGAAGGGAGGGAAGAGGCGCCTCAAGCCATCTGCTGCTGCGGCTTCACGCATGTCCACCAGGCTGTGCTGTACCTGAGAATGGGAAGAAACAGAAGGATTGAAATGTGAAGGGAATGGGGTGAGGCATGAGAGGAGATGCCTCGAGCCATCTGCTGCTGCTGAGGGCGCATGTCCTCTAGACCGTGCTGCACAGGCACAGAGGGATTAGGGTTTGAAGCGCATCGGGGTTTGGTCGGATGGAAGAACTAAGGGATTAGGTTAGGGCGTGTGAGGTCTTTGAAAATTGAAGAAGTTTATGTTTTTAGGGCGAATTTTTGTTTTGAACTTACAACGAAAGAAGTTCGAATTTTCTTCTATCGAAGTTCGAACATCAGGCTTACCACACTGTAAAAAATCATACACACATACAAGGTCGAACCCCGACATTCGAACTTGTAAAAACGAGCCGAGCCGCACGTCAACATTATGGGTTACCCAGTTCGCTCGTCTTGACAGTGCGCCACGTCAACATTTTGCGCCTCGGTTTACAAGGACCTAGAGCTCCAACTCACCTTCCGCACCGAGTGTGTAACCAGGGTACAAATAGCCCCCGTGGCAACACCTTGTATACTCGTCATTCGCCCGCATTGCCACATCGTGCTCGAACGTGCCACGATGCTGGACACGTGGCTACCACTGTGTGCACGAATTGTGGGGTGTCTTCGTTGTGCAACTTCATGCACTGGCGAAGCGCTCGCCCGTTTCGCCAGCTGTTCGGACGTGCTGCAAATCACACACGCTCGCATGAACGTGCGCACGCACGTTCCCGCCTCCGACTCGAGTCAAGTTCATATTTCAAACTCGAACTTTTGCAGAGCCCATACAATGCTTGGTTCGCGAAGCACCCTTCGCGAAATTAACGAATAGGGTAACCACCCAAAGTTCGAACTTTATTTTGAACTTCTAAACAGACCACACGTGCCCTTAGGTTAAGTTGTGAGAGGATGGGGTGGTGTGAGAGAAGAGGCACCTTCATCCTTCATCCGAATGCCCTCTCAAAACCAGCAGGCACATTTGTCCTTCATCCGAATGCCCTCTCAAAACCAGCAGGCACATTTGTCCTTCATCCGAAAAAATAAATGAACTATCACTCCTCAGCCGGGATCATTTGCAGCCGGGCGGTGTCAACGCTGGTGAGAAGAAGATTGGCATGGAGTGGGGGGCAGGGAAGCGTTGGGAATGGAGGGCTATCAAGGGCTCAAAACGAAAAGACGCCGCATACCTGGTTGCTGACAATGGGAATGCCATTTTCAAGAATCACTTGCAGCCGCGTGGTGTCAAAGTTGGTGAGTCCAATGGCCTTAATCTTCCCCTCCTCCTTGAGGTCTGTGAGGTGCTTCAACGCGTCCAGGTACCCAGGGTTGGCATAGTCCCACCTGAGAAGCAGCAAAAAGGAAGGGAGGGCATGAGATGGCTTTAATCTTCCCCTCCTCCTTGAAGTCTGTGAGGTGCTTCAATGCATCCAGATACCCAGGGTTGGTATAGTGCCGCCAGGTGGTGGTGAACGATAGAGTGAAGGGAGGGGGGCGAGAAAAGAGGAGATGCGGTGCTCTGATGTTCCACTCCTTCTTGACTTGAGGTCTGTGAGGTGCTTCAACGTGTCCAGATACCCAGGGTTTCTGAAATCCCACCTGGGAATGAAGAGAGCGACGGGGATAGGAGATTATTGGGAGAACAGGAAGGGGGGGGGGCATGAGATGGCAAGACAAGATAGCCTTGGGCCTGATCATCTTCCCCTCCTTCTGCCCTCTCCTGCCCTCTCCTGCCCTCTCCTGCCCTCTCCTGCCCTCTTCTGCACTCACCACGACAACAAAATGAGTTGTGTTGAGGAATCACACACACTGAGGGAAGTAGCACTCTTGCACATTGTGCCCCATCTAATGCCATGCCATGCCATGCCATCTCACCAGTGGAACTGCAGCAGGTCGATCGTCTTCACTTGCATGTGCGTGCGGGAGTGGTTAATCGGCTTCACTTGCATGTGCGTGCAGGAGTGGTTAATCGGCTTCACTTGGCTTCAACGCACTTGTACATCGCACCTCATCCCCAACTCCCCATCAGCTCACCAGTGGAACTGCAGCAGGTCGATGGTCTTCACTTGCATGCGCGTGAGGGAGCAGTCAATATGACTTGACCCACTTCACTTCACCTTGCTATCTCCTCACCTCATCACCTCACCAGTGGAACTGCAGCAGATCAATGGTCTTGACTTGCATGCACGTGCGTGAGGGAGCGGTTGATCGCCACCTCCACCACATCACAGATAGATAGAGTCATGTAGCCATGCAAATCACACATCTCCCCTCATCCAGTCTCCTCTCCTCTCATCACATCATCTCATCTCACCAGTGGACCTGCAGCAGGTCGATGGTCTTCACTTGCATGCGCGTGCGAGTGCAAGAACGGTCAACCAGCTTCACTTGGCTTCAAAGCACTTGCACACATTGTATCTCGCCTCGTCTCACCAGTGGACCTGCAGCAGGTCGATGGTCTTCACTTGCATGCGCGTGCGAGTGCAAGAACGGTTAACCAGCTTCACTTGGCTTCAAAGCACTTGCACACATTGTATCTCGCCTCGTCTCACCAGTGGAACTGCAGCAGGTCGATGGTCTTCACTTGCATGCGCGTGCGCGAGCGGTTGATCGCCACCTCCACCACGTCACGGGTCATGCGGTCAGGGCGTGGGACGAACTTGGTGAGACTGGTGGGTGGGGAGACGGGGTAGGGGTTGGGCAGGCACAGGAGCGATCAATCGCCACCTCCACCACGTGTCGGGTCACGCGGTCAGGGCGTGGGACGAACTTGGTGAGACTGGTGGGTGGGGAGACGGGGTAGGGGTTGGGCAGGCACAGGAGCGATCAATCGCCACCTCCACCACGTGTCGGGTCACGCGGTCAGGGCGTGGGACGAACTTGGTGAGACTGGTGGGTGGGAGAGGAGCAACTGGAGTTCAAATGAGAGGGGAACGGAAGGGGAGAAGAGTGGGGAGGGTGGAGAAAGGCAGACTATTCAAAGGCAGACTATTCAAAGGCAGACTATTCAAAGGCAGACTATTCAAAGGCAGACTATTCAAAGGCAGACTATTCAAAGGCAGACTATTCAAAGGCAGACTATTCAAAGGCAGACTATTCAAAGGCAGACTATTCAAAGGCAGACTATTCAAAGGCAGACTATTCAAAGGCAGACTATTCAAAGGCAGACTATTCAAAGGCAGACTATTCAAAGGCAGACTATTCAAAGGCAGACTATTCAAAGGCAGACTATTCAAAGGCAGACTATTCAAAGGCAGACTATTCAAAGGCAGACTATTCAAAGGCAGACTATTCAAAGGCAGACTATTCAAAGGCAGACTATTCAAAGGGAGTTTTTGAGAATTCTCAAAAACTCCCTGAAAGGCAGGCTGCTCAAAGTTGACTCGCCACCTTCACCACATCACGGGTCATGCGGTCAAGCCTTGGGACAAACTTGGAGAGACTGGTTTACAGAGGAGAAGACGAGCAGACGACTTTTGAGACGTCTCAAAAGGGTCATGGGGTCAGGCTTGGGCACGAACTTAGGGCAACTGGTTTACAGGGGAGAAGACGAGCAGAAGGGAGAAGAGCGGAGAAGCGGAGGACAGGGGCCCAAGAGGGGAGGGGGAGACGTCTCGACAGGGGCCCAAGAGGGGAGGGGGAGACGTCTCGACAGGGGCCCAAGAGGGGAGGGGGAGACGTCTCGACAGGGGCCCAAGAGGGGAGGGGGAGACGTCTCGACAGGGGCCCAAGAGGGGAGGGGGAGACGTCTCGACAGGGGCCCAAGAGGGGAGGGGGAGACGTCTCGACAGGGGCCCAAGAGGGGAGGGGGAAACGTCCCACAAACCCACCCATACACCCACCCACACAGCCATTCACCCACGCACGCACCCACGCACTCACCACAGTCATCCATCCACACACTCACTCACTCACTCACACACACAATTCCAGACACACCCACACTCACCCCTGCACGCCAAATGCAGCCTCCTCCCCTCGCTCCCTCCTAAGCCTGTCAATCATCACTCCATAATAGCTCTCTGCAGGGCCGTCTGGGGGAGGAGGAGAGGGAGGTGAGAGAAGACAGAGAGCACCCTCCCTCAAAGATGTCTTCTCAGAGTAGTGAGACAGAGAGAAGACAGAGAGCACAAGGAGATTCAAAGTAGTGAATAAGGTATCACCCAGCACCTTTGCTGATTGTACCCCTTATAGAATCACCCAATACACTCATACACACTCCCTTATACTTACATATATTGGTCATGTTGAACGTGGTGAGACCAGCATCAGCATGCTGCAGCATCGCAGTCACCACCGCATCTGGCGCTGCCTGTCCCCACGCCGCGCCCCTGCTGTTCGTCCCCCTTATAATATCACCCATTAAACGCTCGCATTCTACACTTCATAAAGAAATACTCACATATATCAGCCATGTCAAAGGTGGTGAGCCCAGCGCCAGAATCGCATTCACCACCGCATCCAGTGCTGCTGTGAGCCTCCACTTGGCTCTAATGCTTCTCCCCCTTATTGGTGCGACTTTTGAGAATTCTCAAAAGTCGCACCTTCTACAAACTCCCACCAAACCCACTCTACTCAAACATGCACTCACATCCATCGGCTATGTCGAAAGTCGTGAGCCTGGCATCAGCATGCCGCAGCATCGCAGTCACCACCGCATCTGGCGCCGCCTGCCCCCATTCCCCACGTGTCCCCCTTATAAGCTCACCCTATATACATATACACACCCCCTTCTACTCACATATATCGGCCATGTCGAATGTGGTCAGCCCGGCGTCAGCATGCTGCAGCATCGCAGTCACCACTGCATCTGGGGCTGCCTGCCCCCACGCGCCACTGCTGCTCTGCCACATGCCGTTCACCACGCGGCAGATGTCCAAAGAATCGTCCCCCTGTTCCACTGTCACCACGCAGGGGAGGGGAACGGAGAGTATCGAAGGGCCTTATAAGACCCCTGCCTGCCCCCACGCCCCACTGCTTCTCTGCCACATGCCGTTCACCACACGGCAGATGTCAAGGCTGCCCTTTCCCTGTTCCACTGTTGGCATGTTGGGGGGAGCTGGGGGAGAAGGGAGAAAAGCCGCTGTTGAGTGCGCTAAGCAAGCCCCTGCCCCCACGACCCACGCCCCACTGCTGCTCTGCCACATGCCGTTCACCACACGGCAAAAGTCAAGGCTGTCCTTTCCCTGTTCCACTGTTGGAATGATAAGAAGAGGTGGGGGAGAAGGGAGGAAAGCGGCTGGCTGGTGAGTGCGTTACATAAGCACCTGTCCCCACGCCCCGCTGCTGCTCTGCCACATGCCGTTCACCGCGTGGCAAAACGACAAGATCCCACGTGCTCATTCCACGTGCTCACCCCACGTGCTAGAGTAGCCAGTCCTACTTGCCAGCTACAGCCAGGAATCGTTGCAGCAGCAGTCTAGCGTGTGTCACGCGCCACTCAAAACAGTCTACAATAGGAAACCGAGGTTCAATCCAGAAGGCACCGCGGATAGGAAACGTAAGTCCAATCCGTGTGACTCTCAAGTAACACGATTACACTTACGAGTAACACAATCCGAAGGAGCCAGAGCATCAGTCGAAATAGATCGAATGGGCGTGTTCAAATAAGTTGCTACTTAGTTCATTCACACCGACATTCGAGTCGACTCAAAGGTCTCTTAATGTGACTCGCCCCAGGCTTACGAGTGACGCGGTCCGAAGGAGCCTGAGCAACGGTCGGCGCGCCCGAGTCGGCTGATGCTTCCGCTCGCACAGACAAATCCCGCCGACGTGGTCTTTCCGTCGCTCGCGCGGAGCGCTCGTGCCGCAATGTCGCGAATCGCGCCACATTGGACGGAGCGAATCCGCGGCAAGGTCGGAGCGAATTTCGTTCCCAGGCTGGCAATGTGGCACGAAGTTGCCGCGAAACGAGGGACTCCATGGCGTCGGGCCACGCTTGAAGTACTGGGCGCGCAAGGCACAGAATGATCAGGCTGTGACTAAAGAATCTAGAAATCTATTTCAAAAGCACCTGCTACTCCTGATGCCTGTTTGAGCCCCTCCCGGTTGCCTTGTGAAGGGGGCATATAAGCTGTATCGTGCGTTTCGCATAAGTTCGTCAATTTCGCAGCTAGCTAAAAAGAATTCGCATGTGCTTATAAACAAGACCCTGCTACCTAGTTACCTAGTTTGACTTCAGTCTCTTCTGCTTGACTTGGGTCTCTTCTGCTTGACGCGCTTGTAATGTGGGTGCATGAAGCTGGGGAAACAACCTCGGGTGCAGCGTGTCCATCCGGCGCAAGGCAAATTCGCGCGCATGGGGTGAGCATCAGCTGTACTTGGTTTGGACGTTTCAGTCTAGCCTGATGGTGTCTCCCTTCCCTATCAATCCTCTAGGGGTATTTGGCGGATTCCTTCTAGAATCATGTGATGCATCTTGTTTCCGTTGGGTGTGTTACGTTTCAGAGCGGTACTGCACTGAAGCAATTTGAGGCGGCACGTGTAAGCGGAGTAAAGCGACACGCGGAGGACGTGATCCACGTGGAAAGAATCAGCCAGCAGGGAGCATGAATCGCCCCACACAAATGAAGCTTGCTTGGATCGGAGTGCAAATGGAGCAACACCCCAGCAAATGCGTTGCAAAAGTGCTCGATTTGTGATGCAAATACATGTACAATCAGCGTATTACCCGATTATATACACACGGGTGACGTCAGCACATGCCGCCCCGCCCGCCCTGGCACAGAAGGAATCGAGGCAAATCAAAAAACCCGCGGAATCCCTCCGGGCCCCCGGAAATTCCCGGCTGACCAGGCAAAAAAAACCCGCAGAAACCCGCGGGTTCAATGTCGTATTCTTATGCCAATATATATGTCGGCCGCACTGTTGCAATTTCGGGGACATTTGTCGAACAGTGCTCGACGGACATTGGCCAATCGCCGTCGAGCACCGTGCACCCCCGACAACACTGGTTACACCCGGTGGCAAGTCGCCAGGGAATCGCCTACACGGTGGCGCCGACGGTCGACGGTTGCGAAACGTGTTTCGCAACCGGCCGACGGTCGCAATCGACGGAGACGTCAACTGCGGCCGACCTGTCGCCTCGTCGGTCGAGCGAACTGTCGCTGTCGGATGGGCGACGGGTCACGTCAGTCGCAGTCAAACGGTCACGTCAACTGCTGACTGCTGTCTCAGTCTCCACGGGGAGCAACATCAGCCCATTGTCGCTGTATAAACCTGAATTCTTAGTATAAGCACCACTGTTTCCTCAGCACGCCAGGATTTAGGGAGAACTGGTAGCTTTCGGTGGGCACTGATGGAGACCGATCCGTCGACGACAGCGCCTTCCCGGGAGGCGGACGTAGGACGTATACCTGTCGAATTGGAGTCCACATCGACACCACCCCCTTCGTCGTCTAGAGACAGGCCGGTTTCTTCCGCGCCCCCTTCGACGACGCGTGCCATACCGGAGGTGGCAGCGCCCACCTCGACGTCGCGAGCCATACCGGTAGTAATACAGCCGGTTGTTACGGACCAGCGTTCGACGGGTATTCCGGTCACTGTTGAAGTGGGTGGTGCACAGACCGAATTCCCTTCGACAGATCAATCCATACCTGTTGTCGTAGAACCCATCTCGACAACAAATGCCCCCTTTACACACGAGGCTCCAGCTCACTGTGCACCATCGTCGACAGCCCACCGCTCGACGGAACCTTCGGCTGGTGCACCGACCTCGACAGGTGGGCGACGTAGGAGAGCGAGGGCTGTTCCGCCTGAGGTTCGCCAACCACCCCCAGCCCGCACATCCGCTTCTCGAGCCGCCCCCGCCGCTCCTAGGCGCACTTCGACAAGACCAAGCAGAGAGGACTTGGCCAGGAACGTCCCTGAAGCGACGGACGATGAGGATGTTCGGACGGGAGAACAGCAGGAGGCGGACGATGTCGGACCGCCGGACCCTCTGCGGCCTGCTGCGGCAAATATATCAGAGGAGGATGCCGCGCACATTCTCGGCGACCAACCGGGCGCAGACAATCCGTACTTGGCGACCGGAACACTTAAAAGCAGGATTCTCCGGTGTGAGGTTCCGCTGCTGGGAGTTGATCAGGATTCCACACGGCCGGACTATGTCTCTGGAAGCATGCACTACAAAGCTTGGGCCTGTAAAATTCTGGCACCCGAGAGAAGCAACGGAGTGCCTAAAGAGGAGCAGGTGATCTACGAGGACGAGATCGGTAGGGAGATCGGCGACGATATGGGGTCGAGATGGAGGGAGGCGCTGCGTAACGAGGAGCACCTGCATGGGCCAAAAATAACGAAATGGCGCTTGCGCGCGTACGTCGAATACATGTCGACTGAAACCGACCAACAGGCGGCATCGTTGGACACAGGCCGGTCCAGAGTCGCTGGAAGGAAGGCGAAAAAAAGCACCCCTCCGATGATGCTGGCGCGCCTTACTGCGCTGACGTGCTTCTGTAGAGTAGAGGCCATACTCTTCGACGAGCCACTAACGAAACCCTTGGACGACATCACCGAGGCCCGGCAGCTTCTTGCGGTCAAGCTGCGGCAGCTGCACGACTTTCAGTTCGAGTAAGTAGGCTCCCATACACCGGACTCTAAAACTCACCGCTCAAATTCTCACCCAAGTACTCGCTGTATCTGCCCACCCAATGCAGGCAGTGCGTCGATCCACACCGGGGCTCGCTCAATGATGTTTACACGGAGGAGCAGTTCCGCATTCTCGTTTCAGACATCCTGCCGTACTGGGCCAAGGAGTACTTTCGGGAGTCGATGAGTTACCCCAGTCAGTCGCTGTGGAGGGCCTTGGCCGTGAGGGTGATGATCCTGATGGCGCATCACATGCTGGGCAGGGGGATAAGCACCCGCGAGATCCGCTACTGCAATATGTTCACTCACGTCATTCCGCCCATCACGAACAGCAAGGGGGAATCGTCGATCCACGTTCTCGTGGTCGCCTATCGCAACTCGAAGACCATCAAAGACAACAAGCTCGGCCACCTGTACCTGACTCGACACATGGACTTCCGGCAGTGCGGCTTCGGAGCAGTGTTCATGTGGATACATTTCATTTTCGACCTTGTGCCGCTCCACTACAACAACGATAAGATCGTGCCCCCCTTGGATTTCAACAACCCGGAAAACTGGTCAAAGAAGCACATGTTCTTCGCCCTCCTCGACAAGGACAAGACCGAGTTGCCGTACGCGACTCATGCCAAATGGGTTACCTGGGCGATGAAAAGCGCGGAGTGGATCCTGTCGAAAGTCACACATATCTTTCGACGGTCTGCGGCACAGATCCTCGCCGACAAAAACTGTGAACTCGACAACATCGCGCAGCTGGGTCAATGGGACATGAACGAGATGCGCAGGTCATACGTCACAGGCACCCCGCGCGGGGCCATCCAGCTGCAAGCGGGTTTCACGACGGAACCCGGTGACTATTACCTTGGAAGATCGAAGACCGAAGTACCCGCGAAGGTCCTGAAGGCTATCGAGGAGCACATATTTCCAAAGGCGGAGCAGTGGCTCGACGAGGTATGAATGCGTCGAGCGCTTAGCGTGATCATCGAATGCAAGTTTTTGCATTCGATCTATCTCTCAATGTCACCAAGTTTGTTCTTATTCAGGCGATGGAATGGAACAACGAGCAGGACAAGGAGCATATGTTCTTCGCAGCGAAAAGTTTCTTGAAGGCCCTGCAAGCGCCCGAATGCCCATCGCCGAGGATCTTGCGATGTACTACGTCCATTGTGACGACCACCCCTTCGACGGAGTGACTGTTTGCGACTGCGAGCGTCACCCATATGCACAGATGTCCGGTTTGTGCAAGGATATGGATTTCCAAAAATGGGCGCTTGGCGTGTACCTGCTTGACAAGTACGGCATCGAGATGCGGACCAACCCCACACTATCGAGAGCCTCAGTAAGATGGCCCTTATAAATCTTAATCCGAACAGATTGCATCAGCCCACTTACCTACCGCTCGTGATCTTATGCGCAGGACGCATCCTTTCAACTCAACACCAAGCACCTCATCACGCAACTTCGGGCAGAGGTAAACTTACACAAGGAGGAGGGTGGGAAAAAAGAAATCAAGATCAAGGGCCTCGAGAAGAAGGTCGAGCCATTGGTGCGGGAGAAGGGCGCGATGCAAGCGGAGTTGGAGGCGAAGGTAGAAGCACTCGCGCTACTGCAGAAAGCGTTCGACGCACTGAAGATTACCGCCGCGACAATCGCAGCTGCGAATGTAGGGGAGAGCGAGAGTGTGCCGCAGACGGCGACCGAAGAAACCACCCCGCCACCACAGCAGCCCCCTCAATCAACGCCCACTCAACAGAGCAAGGGCAGCCAGCTCGACCAAACATTCTTCGACGCAGTGGTGTGGCCGTGGTGCACTTGCGAGACCGTGCGGCAGGCGTGGTCGTACTGGGACGGGCCAAGCCCGCTGAACAACGGACACAGTCTTCGACACGCTTACAGGAGGGGTTTCGCCGTCGAGTTCAGCAAGTTCACTCCGACTCCTCCCACCGTTCCCCCCGATGCGGTGGACCAGCCAAAAGAAAAGCCACCGACCCCAAAAGCTGTCGAGTCGAGATTGCGGAAGATGGAGGTTGTCATGAGGGCCGTCGAGATGTTCAGGGTCGATGACAGCAGAGCGGCTACGTCGACGATAATTGATAAGCTTGACTCAATAGTCACGAACCACTCGATCAACATGCTGGCTGAAGGGCTCGTTCTGAAAGAGGATTCGGGGAAGCAGCTCACGAAGAAGCGCAAAGTCGAGACAGCAGAAGACAACCGGAAGGACAAAGATCGCCTCAGGATCACGCGGGAGCTCATTCGCGTCGAGCTTCGAACCACGAAATGGGCCGAGAACGTGTTCAAAGACAAATGGAAAGAGTTCATGAAAACATGGGGCGAGAGCCCAAGTTCGACAGGCAATCATGACGAGGGGCGAAACTAGAGTAGGGTGTTCTTTTAGAGATTGCATGGCAGGTTCTCATTACTGACCGACCATCTCGCCTGTATGAACCTTCTGAGCATTATCGCAAACGGAAAGTCAAGATCCATGCAGCATGTACATTCTGTCGATTAAACTTTGGAAACAACAAGCACAACTGTCGAGAATAGCAAACACTCCCACGCAAAGTGCCCGCCTATACTACTCCCCTTGCCCGCCCGTTTCCGTCTCAGCTGCATCCTCGTCGCCCTGCTTCGCCTTGCTCTTTTCTTCTGGCATAGCCAGGCTGCCATAGCCCGCGTCCTCCAGCAAGCGGGCAGCAGCTCGACAGCAGCACCATTGCGTACAGACCTGTGCTGCCACGCGCAGCATCTGCAGCAGTATGGCGTCCGTCGAGCCGAGACCTTCGACAGCCGACGAATACAGGTGATCGGGCCACTGCTTCGCCGGGAACGTCTTGCCGACGTGCAAAAGTATGGACACGAGTGCGGACATGGCAGCCACACAAGCCTTCTTTGCAGTCTCCGGGGCGTAGATCGCCGCGTTTGCGGCAGCTAGGGCATCCTTCTTAATATCCTCCCTCGACAACTTCCTGCTGGCCGCCCACAAGCTCGCCACAGTTGCTGCGATGGCCATCATGTGCGGTGTCGCCGCCATGCCCTTCGGGACCGGGTAAATCAGATTCCCGTGCTTTAGGCCAAGCGTCGCGACCTTACCAATCGCCACGCACAGCGCGATTCCCCTCTCGGTTCTAGCTTTCACTTCCTTTTTTGTCGTCGCCAAGAGTGACATGTAACTGCACATCGCAAGAAATGCGTGAGTCAAGAAGCCAGAATTCGACCGACAGCACATTCACCGCAAAACAGATGGTGTTCGAAAATTCACCAAAACAGCACGAACTCGACAGCAGAGTCTAGCAACATGACTTCGACAGAACTTACTCGTCGAAACGACATTCCCCTTGTTCTTGCGCCACGCTCCAAACGCCGGTTGGCATTTCTGCGGCCGCATCGAGGTAGACCTTCCAGTCCTCCTCATCCTGCGCCCTGTACCCTTCGTACTCCGTAAGGACAACGTCGGGGAAGTACACACGCCAGCAGACGGCCGTATAGAACTTCTGGTCCTTCTCTGTTTCAAAAGTGCCAAGGAACCGCTTCCTCCCGCCGACGGTCAGCTCGGAAACCGGCTTCCCCTTCCGCAACCCGAAACCCGGTCCTTTGAACGGACGTTTGCAGCCTCTCGTCTTGCCTTGGTCGTCCGGTCGAGGAGGTGGGGTGTGACCCGTGACCCTGGCCTTCTTCGCCTTTTCCTGTCGAGCAGCAACGACAATAGAGGTCTTCTCGACAGTCGCCTGACCAGGGACGCTGGCCAGCTCCACCACGTCAAGGCTCTCTGTCGCGTGTGCAACGCGCTTCGACGACTTCGTTGCAGCCGGCTTCTTCTTCGACATTGAAGGGGAGCCCGGATCGCTAAGACAAACGTTGCCTACGGACGGAGCAGCGGCGACAGGAGCAACTGGAGGGGTCGAGGAAGACGCCCAATTTCCCACAAGCCCGACAGCAAGGCCAGCACCACCGCCTTGCGCAGCTGATGCCGCTTTAGTCTTCGACAGCAACCCAGCGCTTGCTTCTCCCGCTCCTTTCCCCGCACCGCCGCCTGACAGGGTAGAGGCACCTCGCATTCCTAGAGCTCTGTTCCCGGTCGAGGCGACGTCCTCGTTCGGGGCACCACTTTTCTCCCCCACGACCACTCCTTTCCCACCCGTTTTCCCCAGGCCTTGCAGCATGTCCCGCATCGAAGCAAACGCATCAGGTGGATCGATCGGAGCCGCTACGGAGGTCTTCGGGCGGGGCGACTGGTCGAGTACGATGACTTCCTCGACGGGCTTGGTGACGGGATGACGACCACGCGCCGGTGGGGATCCAACCGGGCTGCCGACATGTCCTCCCACCGAAGAAGACGGAGGAACCGACTGCTCGTGACCACGAGGCTCAGCCCCGCTGCGAACCCCTCCCACACCCTCCTGACGCGACCTCGTCGACGGGCCCGCCGAGCGCTGATAACCTCTCGCCATCGCTTCGGTGAGGACTTCCAACCTCCCTGCTTCGGCTTCATGGTAGCCTTCCCTCACAATGTCCTTCAGCTCCTTCATGGTCTCGGGTGGGAGGGTGGAGCATAACATGTCCTCCATGATGGCTTTCTCGAAACCCTTCAGCACCGCAGCAACCAGCCGCTCCTCAACCTGCTTGAGCTGCTTCTCGACGGCGTCTTCGCTCGCTTTTGTGATGGCGGCTGCCACCCCCTCGATGATCTTCTCGCTCATCTCGTCGATCTTCGCCCGCGCCCCTTCCAACAGGTTCCTCTCCGCCGTGACACCCTTCACAGCCTCGGCGCACTGCGACAGTGTGCTCTTCGACGACTCCGAAATCGTATTCCACGCCGTCCGAAAATCCGCAGCAAGCCTGTTGAATACTCCGGCTTGCTTTGTGTGTTTCGCAAAGACATCGGCGACGAGCTGCTTCTGCGACGCCTCGACCTTCTCGACCCTCTGCAGTAGCTCGACGACCTGGCCTCCCGGTGAAACGTTCGCCGTCGATTGGCCTGCCGTCGAAGGCCACCCGGTCGAAGGGCCCGCCTGTCCGCTGCCACTGGCCGTGCGTTGACTCCTTGTTACGGCGGCCTATCGCTCATCTCCTCGACGATACTCCTCAGCAGCCTCCCAGTCCTCCTGCTCCTGCCCTCCCGACCCACCCACCCGCGCAGTCGCAACCCTAAACGCCTGCTGCTGCACTCCTGCCCCACCCTCCTGCGCAGCCGCCACGCCCTCCTGCTGCTGCCCTCCTGCCCCGCCCTCCTGCGCACCCGCCTCGCCCACCACCTGCCGCTGCCCTCCGACCCCACCCTCCTGACCAGCCGCTCCGCCCTCCTGCTCCTCGACAGCCTTAGTTTCCCCTGTCGCCTGCTGCTCGATAAGCTCTACTTGCTCGTCCACCCGCTCCCCGAGCGCCACTCCGTGCTCCCCCGTACGCTCCGTTCTATGTCCGGCGCCCTCACCGTCGTCCTCGGCCGACTCATCGCTCGAGCTCGAGTCGGAGCTCGTTCCCGAGCTCGAGTCCTCGTCCTGGTTCGCATCGCCGCCCGGGCCGCTCGCCCCGTGCTGAGCCTGCCTCGATGTATCCTCCTCGATCTCCTCCTCCTCCTCGACGCTGTACTCAATCACGACGCGTCCCGTCTTATCGCCTCCTCCCTCGTGGTCGGCACCCCCTCCCACACCTGCTCCCTCCGCCAGCTGGTCGATCTTTCTTGAAAACAGCTTGACCATGAACAACGGAAGCACACCCGGGCCAGGGTTCGTTCTCCCTAGATGCACGAGTTCGCCTTTTCGAGGCTGTAGGATGAAGTCGTCCCATTTCGTCAGAATCCGGCGCACCCCATGCACGACACGAGCTGCCGCGCCGTTTTGATAGGGGCTCGACAAGGCCGTCGTCGTCTGCGACGGGTACAAAACATACGTAAGCGACAAAACACATGCTCGACAAAAACGCTGGTGGTCTAAGGAGAGCTTACCAGATGGTCGAAATCCTCGTTCAACTCCAGACGAAGGTCCATCACGTTCAACACTTCTTGGTCGTCCTCGGTCAGAGCCTGGTGGGTCATCGCGTACTCGGCGGGAAGCTGCTTCTTCATCCACCTGCGACGCAGCGGACAGAAGAGTAAGATTGTCGAGAACAGCAGCTCGACAGCAGGGTGGGAAAGCTGTCACTCACACGAAAACTTCTTGCGCCAGAGAAGATTGGTGGTTCATATCGGGAAACTTGTCTTTCGAATCGAAGTGCATCATTCGAGTTCGACTGCCACGGTGCCTCGGAGCCAGCAGATCGTTGGGGCGCGATACCACAAACAGGCTCGAGTGGGAGAACGGAGGCACACTCAGTCTGCATGCAGAGCCAATGCACGTGAGAACGGGTTCAGGGCTAAAGACGGAGCACGCAAGGCGACGGGAGAGTAGGCGACGGTAGAGTGTCGAACTCACGGTGTCCGCAGCAGAACGAAAACCACTTGCTTGCCGAGGAGGCCGTCGAGGTGGTTGTTCGCAAAAGCGACCGGGGTGGGACGTGCCATCTCTTCACGCGCACGCGCTGGAGTCACGATCGACACCTTGGGGAGCTGCTCGACGGACAGCAGCTCATGACAGAGCAGGCTGCACGGAAAGCTAAGGCAACGTCAGCGATTGGTAAACCCAAACATGGCAAACCGAAAATGTTCGACATGACACGTACACGACGCCCGCGACCATCATGCTCTCGTCGAGCTCCCCTTTCGGCGCCTCTCTAATCGCATTCAGCTGGTCCTCGTACACCTCCACCTCGACCCCGCCTGCACTAAGGATGAGGCCGCGTTGAACCGTCGCCTCATTCATGACGGGTACGGAGGCGGAGCTCGTAGCCATGTCAGGCCTAGCAGTGGAGAGGGCGGGCGTGCAGGGGAGTCGGGAACTAGCAGGGACTAGGAAGTAGGGAAGTAGAAATCGGAAACACCAACAAACTGAGACCGGACGAAGGGTATTAGCTGTTTGCCATCCCTCCCACCGCGACGGACCAGGGGGGTTCAAGGGCGAGGAGGCAGGGCGCGTTCCGAGACGCTGGAGGAGGAGGGAGGAGCTCTTCGCGGAGGCCGGTGGGGCCCTATTCGCGTCGACGTGAAACGTGGTTGTTGGTTGCATGGGGTGGGCCGCCTTGCGTGCAGCTGAAAGGCCCCTTCCAAGGTTCGGGAGGGGGCCTTCAACACGTCACCAAGATCGTGCGGGTTGAACGAAACGGGCCCGTCTAGGGCGAGAGCGGTGGAGCGCGGCGCAGATGGGCGTCGATGTCGTCCGGCCAGCGAAATTTCGCCGACTGGTTCCGTCGGCGATGCGTCGCTCGGCGAGGGATGGGCGGGTTACCGGACGGAACCCGTCCACGAACCGAGCGAGGGGTTGGGCTCGGTGGGGAGGGGGACCACTGCCAGCTCGAGGGCGCGGGCTGCTGGCGTAATCGGCAGCTGGCGCCAGCTGGGGGTGCCCGTTTTCGGGTGGGAGGGGGGGGGTGGTGGCTCCCGCCCCTCACGTGCCCCGCCACGCGACAGAGGGAAAACGAAAATCCCTCCGAGGAAAACCCGCAGGGGCGAACGGGTTTCCGCGGAGGGATTCGGGCGACGTCTTCTCGTACGTACTCCTGCAAGCTCTGCTGGTTCGCTTCAAGCAGAAAAAATATGGCTTTCCCTATTTATATACCAGGCAACCCATTCCGCTCTACAAAAGACATGTCATACTAATGTGGTATGTATCCTATGCATGCTCGCCTTCCATATAGTAATGCCCCACCTCCTACCGGTATCTGCGGTACCTTGTGCCAAGTATAGCAAATTGCAGCTTGCTATGCGTGAGGCGTCGAAGGCTAGCTTGCAGTGACACCCGGAGCCCGGGCAGCAAATGAAAGAATGCCCCAAACTTCCTGAATTCTCTCGTGAAGCGTCTCAAAAACCAAGTCTTATTCAGGGCAGCAGATGAAGGAGTGCCTGAACTTCCAATCGGCCACCTGGCACGACCGGCTACAGTACTTTGCCTTTCCGCACCGCACACAACTCCTGAATTCGTTCTCCCTCGTCTCCGGGCGGCAGCACGCAGGGTTACCGCAGCAGCGCCTGCCAGCTGGCAGCGAGCGCAGCGCGTGCCAGCTGGCGAGGAAGTCGTGCACGCGATGGGCGGCTTGCGGGCGCGGAAACGCCAGCTGGAGGGCGGCGGTGGATGCGGCAGCTGCTGACGTGGCTGCTGCTGATGTGGCTGCTACAGCCGGGGTAGCTGCAAATGCTGATCTTCTAACATGGGCAGCTGGAGCAGTGGCAGCAGCGGTGGCAGCGGCCGAAACAGCAGCAGGAGAGGTGGTAAGAGGGAGCATTTGCCGAATAAAGGCGAGCGAGGCAAAGGATACAGCAGAGGGCAGTGGGCTGCTTGATGCACCCTCCCTCTCCTCCTCCTCCTCACTCTCCTCCTCCACCCCCTCATCCTCCTCCCCATCACTCTCATCATCCTCTGAGTCTATCCAAAAGTCTTGGTCCTCCCCACATCCAACCCCATAGCTTCTCAGGATGCCGGCTAGAGCATCTGCAGCAGCAGCAGCAGCCGCAGCCGCATTAGCAGTTGCACCTGTTGATTCACACACAGGTGAAGGCGGCGAGAGGGACAGTTCAAGCGACAAAGAGCAAGGCTCAAATTCTTGGCTTCCCAGCTCGTTTTCCTGCTTTCCCTCTGCATCCTCCACGCCTCTCTCCTTTGTAATCTCTTCCAGCAGCAGCATCATTCCCATTGCATCCTCCTCCTCTTCCTCCATTTGCCGCTTCTGCCCCTCCTGCCCCTCCTCTCTCTCTTCCTCGGAACAGAGAGAGAAAACCAGGGTTTGGTCAGCTCCCCGTTCCGATGGCGCTTGCGTGCTTTCCGCCTCTCTAAGCCTCTGCCGCTCCTCCCCTTGCGCGTCATCGCAACAGTTGATCCCCCCCTCGTCCTTTCCTTCCCCCTCGCCTCTAGCGTCGCTGTTCCCTCTTCTCTCTACAGTCACATCTCCCCTAAGCCTCGCGCCTCCAGCGTCAGCGCCTCGCAGCATCCCACTGCCGCACGCTTCGTTACAGTCACTTCTCGCGTTACAGTCACCCCTCGCGCACGCGCGCGCGCGGGCGGAGGCGGAGGCGGAGACTGCGCCGACGGGGGAAGAAACAAGGCGTTGCGGCCAGCTGCGCGAGCGGCCGATGCTGCGGAGCTCCCGCTGCTGCGTCTGCGGCTGCGGCTTCCGCGTCCCCTCCTGCAGAACCTCCACTCGCGCCGCTCCTGCTTCCGCGCACTCGGGGGAAATGGGCGCGGAGCGCGGCGTGACCTTCGCATTTCTCCGCCGGTCCGCTTCCGCCAGCCCCGCCGCCGCGTGCTGCAGCAGCAGCTGCCCCAAGGACGTCCTTTGCGCGACGCCGTACCCGTCTAAAAAGCAATGCCCGAGTTCCTGTAACGCGGGGAGGAACCCGAGCCGCGCGGCGCGCCAGCTTAGCTCCACGCCGACCTCGGGATTCGCGTCGTCCGCCGCGCCGCCGCTGCCGTGGAAGTTGATTATCGCGAGAGAGTACATCGCCGCGCCGTGCCCCGCTTCCGCCGCCTGCGCGAGGAGCTTTGCGCCCGCCCAGTGATTGTTGAGGCAGTAGAAGGAGATCTGGAAGGGAAGAAGGGGGAAGAATGCGCGGGGAGGCGGAGGGGAAGTGGGGGAGTTAGTAAGTCTAGACTCAAAACACGGTGGTAAATAGAAAGAAATGTCGGTGAGTCGACGGGGAGGGAAAATGCTTGCGCGAACGAACAATGCCCCGAGTCGGCAAATGATGGCTCACCATGCCCACAACGTAAATCGCCTCGAGGTTGCCTTCTGCTGCGGCGCTCAGAAGCAGGCGTTGCGCCGCCGCCGTCCATCGCGCCGCGTCTGCCGGCAGAAGCATTTCGATGGCGGCCGAGGCGCGTAGCGACCAGCTGGCGGCAAGGTGGCAAACGCTGCTGAACCGCCTGCACGTCACGAGCATCCCCGCGACGTCCGCCGCCGATTGCGCTTTAGCGAAGACGCAGCGCGCGATCTCCGCGACTAGCTCGTCGGGCACGTGATCGAAGTGGCACGTGCGACGCGTCGTCGCTGAGTCGCAGCCGTCGCCGGCGACGGGTCGTTGAACGTCGCGGGAAAATGTCTGCGCTTGCGGCGCCACCGCGTCTGCGAAAATCGCAGAGGCTGGGGCTTTCTTGTCGCCGAAAGTAGAAATCGGCTTCGAGATGTTGTTGCAATGGAGAGACGGAACACCGAAGAATGCGGGCTGCGAGTACGCAAACTCATTTGTGCCGAGCTTTACTCTTTTGAAAGACTCCATTTGGACAAGAATGTCGCTATACTTCCCAGAGTGTCGTGGAGAGACCCAGACCACAAGATGGTACTGGAATGCAGGTAAAAAAAAAAAACGTAGACTCTGTTTTTCGGATATAAACTGTTGTTTATTGTTGACCGTGAGCGTCTACATACAGAAAATGACGCTCCTATAAGAACTTCAGATGACCTTCAGAAGGTAAAATCGTCCCGACAGGCACGGCGGTAACTAGCAGAGAAACGGAAAATGCAGTTTTCTGTCGTGAGACCTACGCTGCTTGTTCGGTGTCGTGGAAAGTAGTAAGGTCTGAGGCCTCTCGCCTTTTCTATGTCCAGCTGCTGTGCTTGTACGGTTCTAGTCTGTTGTGTGACAGCTTGGCGTAGAATTGTTAAGTATGTTACAGAACGATTTGTTACGGCGAGGGACGGTGTTGCTGGTGGATGAGGTTCGAAATCGAATGTTCATGTGGCTTGCTCCAGGCAGAGTGGCTATGTGAGGACCACTCGTTGCCTTGTGGGTTCTTTGGTGGTCAAAGGTCTGCGGAACCACGGAGCAACTGGTTCAACATACGCAGACCGAGAAGAGCCGAATTCATCCGAACACATCAAGTGTTCGGACTTGGCTGGCATTCCAGCAGGACAGAGATAGGGACGACGCGCATTTGAATACCGCGTGCCAGGTTGTTCACATCCACACATTCACAAATCAACCAATCGGCAGCATTTGTCCGACGGTTCCGGCAACTGATCGAGCGGTATGCGTTGTACAGCCCCTCCGGCTCGAGGAGCAAGCGGGAGGGAATGCTTCTGCCGCGCGACCGCACTGCATCCCTCCTTCCAAAGGAAATCGGGAACAAGATTCGGGGAAAGGATTCGCGAATCTGAAAACTGTAGCATCTACTCCCTCTCGTGCTGTCGTTTCCTCTGGTTTTGTGTGTGTTCGTGACGGTGACGGTGACGGTGCAGGGGGTTTCAGCGCTAGGGCTGTGATGCTGCCAACGTTATAAAAAAAAAAAAAAAAAAAAAAAAAAAACAACAACAACAACAACAACAACAACAACAACAACAACAACCCATAGCTTTTTTGCGCAAAAAAAACACCCTCTCTCTCGCCAGACTGACATTGGCCATATTGACGCACCGGATCCTGAAGTGGCCCAGCTAGTTAGCTGGTTCACTTCCGAAGGATAAGGTCCCGGGATCAAATCCCCCCTGCGGCGTGTTCTGCCAGCCCCACAGAAGGGGGTTACACAGGTGCTCATCTGGGAGTGGATACATTAACCTCGTTACCCAGCGAGGCGTGGAAACAAATGGGTAGGCGGGTTACGACCGACAGCCGAGGTAATACCAAGGGGGTTTCCCCATAACCTTTACCTTTACTATATTGACGGACTGGCTATACTGACATTAATGCGTCCAGAATAGTCCCAGAACATACCATATGAGCACATTTGCCGCACTCAACCGTACGGAAACGCAATTTTTCTTCCATAAAACGTTGTGTACCGTTCCTCTGGAGTGCATTTGCCCGCCACCTACCTGGCATTCGGTTGCAAGCACCAGATCGCTAGGGTCCAAGCAACAGTACGCTGGGTCCAAGCAACAGTACGCATTGTAGCCAGCGCTTCCCATTGTCAGTCTGGCGAGAGAGAGGGTGTACGCGGAATCGTAATTTGCGACGTGTACCCCGAGTGTATCCGCTTGAACACACTTGTGTTGCATGAAGAGCTTGTTTGTGGAGTCAAAGGAAATGGGGTAAGTAGCTTTCGTAGAGGTGCTACTAGCGACCCTGCGCTTTCAAGGAGACTACAGTGCTAATCGCGAGCACTTTCCGCCCCTCCGCCACTCCGAGAGGAAAGTTATGGCAACAACACAGAACTCGGTCCCACATTCACCCAAGTGTCACAAATTCGGAAAGTTAGAAACGCACGGCAAAAATAATAAAACCCGTAGGGAACCTGGACTCATTTTCGTGAGGGATAAACCCTAAACACGGGAACCCACATTTTTTTAGGATTGATGCCTCCCTGACATGCATCCCCCGATTGGGTTTTAGTTTTTTTTCGGTCAGGGAAAGGGATATTTTTTCCAGTGGCTTGCGAAATTCTGACACGTGGGTAAATTTGGGACTTAGTTATGTGCTGTTGCCATAATTTTCCAGTCGGAGTGGCGGAGTGGCGGAAAGTGCCCGCATATAGCACTGTAGTCTCCTTAAAAGCGCAGGGTCGCTAGTAGTACCATGCGAAAGCTACTTAGGCGTGTGCAAAGTGTTGCATGTAGCTCGACGTCGAGCTACGTCGAGGTTGTTGGGCAAGGTAGGTGAGCTGAGGGGTGCCATTTCTGTGTGCAAAGTACGCTTCAAAAATTGCTGACGCCAGCATCGCCATTTGTACGGAAATGTGCAATCATGATAGGCACAGAAACGGTCAACCAAGGAAAAATTGAGCGAATCTTTACAGTGTTTGCCAGACCACGTAAGACAAATTCACAGATTGGCATGAATCGTAATCTCGACCATTGCGAACATTTTCATTTCGTGATGAGATTTTCGCAGCCAATAGACGCACTCGAAAAAGACATTTGCGATTTCAGGTTCTGGTCCCAATTCAATTCTTCGACGGTATCAATTCAATTGTTCTTATTAATGCCGGCATTTGTCTTGAGTGGACAGTTCGTCGCCGGCAATGTGTTCTAAGTGCCGCATTTGACGTCAATCGACGTCAGAGGCTCGACGTCACTCGACGTCGATCTCCGACGTCTAAACTACGTCCAAACTACGTCGAAATACTTCGCACACGCCATAATGGCGTCCACGGCGCACACGAGATTGTGGGACGCATGCAATGAGATTGCACTTGATAAACGTGTAGGCGTGCCACACACACCGTTCCAAGGTTTCAGCTCCGCCACAGATTTTTTCAGTTTGTCCGTGACAATCGATAACTCTTGTCACTTTCCATTAATGAATCATACCCGTGCAGGCTAGACGCTGACATGGATCTGGATATTCGATTTGAAATCAAAACCCGGATTCGGTAATTTGGCATTGACAGATGGGCTGCCGTGACGCTTCAAGTTCATACAGATCGTAAAAGATTGCAAAAGCAGCAGAAACCGCGTTCGGGGGAGCCAGAAACCGCGTGTGCTCGACGAACGAATCATCTCACTAGATTTCTGTCGCTGGGACCAGCTTGCATTACCAAAACAGTGGGAAGTCTTGTTTGTCGAGATTGATGGGGTTTGGAGCGTCCAACTGTCACCAGCTCAAATGGAGCATTTCATAATGGAGGTGGAGGTCCCTTGCTTGCTTGTCAGTGAACTTGTCGCACGCTGACAACGTTGCACGACTTGCCCGAACCCAACCTGACCAAACCCAGCCCATACAGTGCTCAGAGAATATCCACGAAGTTTCAAATGGAAGCTGTTCTACACCGGTTTTATATTTTGTGGTGGTAATGTAAAATCATGCTGTTGTATTTTGCCAATATTCTCACCAACGGCGGAAACCATCAATTGAAAGAGGGGAAGAAGGGGTGACATTTGTACCGATTACTATCACACGCTGAATATAGGTACCATCATAATAAAATGTAACTAACATGACGTTGATCCACATTGCGTGGAGCATCACCAATTAGTAACCACCACACAATCCTTATCAATAGTTTTCCAGCTCTAGCTTCGGCAACAACGACCAGAAATTTTTCCGGTGGTGTACCACCAGAAGCCGGGTGGCAGCAGTGAGAATCCGGAGCTCCGCCGTGCCCTCTGAGTACACGTGTGTGGGGCCCACATGACGTGGCTTCACCTTCAGTCCACTCATGCCCTTCTTGCGGATCACTGTTAGCGCTTGCTCCTCTGTTATGCTGCCCAGCCGCATGCCCATGCCTGCTGCCTGCACCTCGTAGTGATCTCTTAACTCCTTGATATTCACCTGAGATGTGTGGTTGCAAGGAAGAAGGTTCAAGGAAGGAGGAGAGGTGCTTGAATCTGCATGCGCATGCCTGCTGCTGCAGCACCACCATTATCACTGCAATCTCTCCCAACCACCCAGAGTGATCCCTCACATCAACAGCAGCAGCACCCCATGAGCACTTACAGCCGCAGCAGCAGCACCCCATGAGCACTTACAGCCGCAGCAGCAGCAGGAGCAGCAGCAGCAGGAGCAGCAGCAGCAGGAGCAGCAGCAGCAACACCATTATCACTGCATGCTCTCCCACCCACGCCCATGCCCTATCAACATCCATGCCCTTCATGCCCAGAGCCTTATCATTCAGATCAGATCCATCCCCTCACCAGAGTGATCCCCTCCCCTCCGGTGATTGACACTTTAGCCGCCGCCCCAAATGTGATCCGTTCTTCCAACCGCACCCCACCTCACCGCACTCGACCCCTCTTTCACACACTCACCAGAAGGATCCCTCCAGTGATAGACACTTAAGATGGCCCTATCTTCCAACCGCACCCCACCCCAGCGCACCCCACCCCTCATTCACACACCCCCATGCAACCCCATGTGCGCCAGCAGCAGAGCATGCAGCAGCAGCAGCACTATGTCACCGCTGCATGCCCTTCCAATATCCATCACAGGCCCATCAAAGGCTTACTTGAGTAATCCCTCCAGTGATGGACACTTCAGATGCTGCCCCAAACGTGATCCGCTCTTCCTGTGGCTTCTCAACCAAATCCATCTCCTCCCATCCAACCCCAACTCACCGCACTGCACCCCTCCTTCACACACTCACCAGAGTGATCCCTCCAGTGATGGACACTTTAGCAGCCGCCCCAAAAGTGATTCTCTCAGCCGTCGCCTGCAGCCCCTCAAACACCCCCATGTGCGCCAGCAGCAGCGCGTGCAGCATCTCCAGATCGTCACACCCGCCCGCTCCCACGCTGCTCCCTCCAGAGTGAATCCCTGACCCGCCCACCAGGTCTGCTCCTGCTCCCACACATGCCTCTAAAAGGCCCAATGAGATTTCTGCCACCTCTGGCACCCCTGGGCGCTGGGGGAGAGACGAGAGGGTAATAGAGGGAAAGAGAGAGATTGAGAGAGGTTGAGAGAGATTGGGAGGGAGGATCGGCGCCCCTCAAACACCCCCATGTGCGCCAGCAGCAGCGCGTGCAGCATCTCGAGATCGTCACACCCGCTCGCTCCCACGCTGCTCCCTCCAGAGTGAATCCCCTGACCCGCCCACCAGGTCTGCCCCCGCGCCCACACATGCTTCCAGCAAACCCAATGATATCTCCGCTACCTCTGGCACCCCTGGGCGCTGTTGGGAGAGACAGGGGATACAGGGCAAGAGAGTCATGTCATGGGGAAGTGAAAGAGATTAAGCAGTTGATAGAGAGAGGTGGAGAGGGATAGGGAGGAGCGGAGCCCCTCAAACACCCCCATGTGTTGCCGTGCTCAGCACCACCCCCTTGGCTCATGCGGGCAGTAACACCCACCCACACCCACCCAAACGCCCACCTGGAAGTTGCTGTCTGCGCGGCACCAGTCACACATGCGAATGAGCGACCGCCAGAGGCCAAACCAGTCCACTGTTGCCGTGCTGAGAGCTACCCCCTTGGCTCATGCTGGCAGTAACACACACTCAGACACACATCCACACCCACCCACACCCACCCAGACACACACCTGGAAGTTGCTTTCCGCGCGGCACCAATCACATATCCGAATGAGAGACCGCCAGAGGCCAAACCAGTCCACTGTTGCCGTGCTCAGCGCCACCCCCTTGGCGCGCGCGAAGTTGAGCACCAGAGACACCACCACCGCTGCCCTCACCAGCGCGTCTGGGTCCATCGAGGGGGCGGGTTGCGAGGAGGAGGAGGGAGTGGAGGAGAGTGAGGAGTGGGAGGAGGAGGAGGAGGGGTGAGAGGAGGAGGAAGAGGAGGAGGCGGAGGTGGGGGGGTTGGAGGTGTGGGAGATGGAGGGAGGGAGTGTGTTGAAGGAGGGTTGGGCAGGTGTGGGCGTGGGGGGAAGGGGGAGGGAGAGGACCGCTACTCCCATGTTGAAGAATGCGTGGGACATGGAGGAGCGTGGGTGGGATGGCGTGCGCGGGGAACGAGGGGACATGGCTGCATATACGGGTTGGGTGGGTGGAGTCAGGGAGAGAGAGGGGGGAAAAGAGATGAGTTGAAGAATGTGTGAGATATGGAATAGACGGGGTGGGATGGCGTAGCTGTGGAGAATGAGGGGAGACGGCTGTGGAAGGGAGGGATGGGGAGTGGGGGAGAAAGGGCGATACTGATTGAAAAATGCGTGGAACACGGAGGAGAGCGGGTGGGATGAGGAGTGCGGGGAATGCGGGGAATGTGGGGATGACAGGCTGGGAGGGGTCGTACCAGGTGATGAGGGGCTGGGAGGCTCGAGGGAGTGCATGAGGAAGGTGGCAGGGTCGCATCTGAAGAGAAACTCGGCAGTATGTCGCTCCTCTAGCAGCAGACGGGCTAAGAGGAAAAGCACCTGAGCATTGTAGCAGCCAGAGCAGGGGATAGCGGAGGGGGGAGAGGAAGGGGACGGGTAAGAAAGAGACGGAGAGGGAAGGTGGCCGGGTCACATCTGAAGAGGAACTCGGCTGTGTGCCGCTCGTCTAGCAGCAAACGGGCGAGGAGGAAGAGAACCTGAGCATTGTGGCATGGCATTGTATAGGGGATGGAGGAGAGGAAGACGAAGGGGAAGTGAGGGAGGAATTTAGGGTCGCATCTGAAGAGAAACTCAGCTGTATGTCGCTCCTCCAATAGCAGACGGACAAAGAGAAAGAGAACCTAAGTTTGGTGCCAGGGCAGGGCAGGGCGGGGGAGAGAGGAGAGCAGCAGCTGGTGCGTTTAAACCGACTAGTCGAAACATTTCCACGCGGCTCTCTGATCCAAGACGTATGTAATACTAGAAAACCTTATAATTCAACAATCCGTTCCCTCCCCCCCTTGCATGCGATGCAGGATAGATCAAAAGCGTCTCTGCGCATGTCAATGAGAAGGTGGTCTGAAACGCTTGTGCAAAGAACAGGGCACAGCATTTCTCCCCACACAAGACCAGGGATAAAAATGACGGTCGTTTTTTTTTTTATCATTTACCGTATAAAACGGTATCGTAATTTACGGTCGTATAAAACGGTAAAATACGGTTGAAATGTTCTTTTTGTGTCTGGTTTAAAATACGGTCATTTTTTACGACCGAAATTTTAAAACAGAGTCACTCACTAGCAAAATTCAAAATTCCCAACCGTCATTCTCCCTCACCGAATACCGTCCCCCCGAATCCAATCCTTGGTGATTTGTTTTCCCGAAGCGCGAATTCCAACATGTTCCCGAAGCGCGACATTTGAGCATTTGGTGAAATGGTCAACATCAGTTGACCCGTTTCGCTCTGTCGTTTCAGCTGTTCGCCGAAGCGCAGCTATTCAATTTAGCGAGGGTCGACAGTCAAACATTTGGCGAACCGACACCAATTGTTTGCATGTTTCGCGTAGTCGCTGCACATTTTCGCGCCCACATTTTTTGTTTTCGCCCGCATGCACGACAACCCAACCTTCGCGATGCGAACTCATTTCAGCCAATCACAGTTGCACATTTTCCATTCCTCTCATCAGCCCATCCCCAAATTCCACTCGACAACGCTTGCAGAGCCCTTTGCTCCACGAAGGTACTAATACGAGCAGCAGAAACTAGTCAACACATCCTAGCGTCAGATTTACCTTAGCTTTCTCTCACCTCAGTTAAGGCCATGGTGAGACCTTTATCAGACGAATGGAAGCACCTGATCAAGGAGACATCCAACGGCGTTGTTAGTGTGACATGCAAACATTGCGGAGATACCGTTACTCCTAACGCGACACGTATTAAGTATCATATTTATGGGATTCCTTCAGACAAGCTTAAGAACGTGACGATGTGCAAGTCAGACAAGGCTGAGCTACTCCGTGCGGAAGCCGAACGTGAACGTTCCACCACCGGGGGTTGTGAAAACCGTGCCTCCACGTCCTCGGTTGCACTTCAGCCCGTGCGTCGTAATAGGCAACGTGACATCCGCGACATGACGGATGATGTTGCTCACGAGCGTCTAGACTACCTGTGGTGTGCGGCTGTGGCAGATAACGATCTCGCGTTCAACGTATCGGGGTCGAAATCGCTCCAGGCGTTTGTTGAGGCGGCCGTCCACTTCGCGAAGCCTTACACTCTCCCCACACCCTACCGCGTCTAGGGCCCGCTGCTTGCCAAACTCAGGGCTGATACGGAAGACCTCGTTAAGCCGCCCAAGGACAGCTGGAACACGAGCGGGTGCTCCCTCTCGGTGGACGGGTGGACGTGCATGAAGTAACGAGGCATGGTGTGCGTCATCGTGCAAAACGACACGGCACCCGTCATAGTTGACGTCGTGGACTCGAAGACCGCAAAGAAGATCGGAGCGTACCTGGCGGGACTTATTGGCGATGCGATCCGCACGGTGGGAGGCCAACGCGTCGTCCAAGTCGTAATGGACAACGCGTCCAACAACAAACGTGCGGCCGAGTTGCTGAAACCCGAAGTTCCCCATGTCTTTTGAGACGTCTCAAAAGTCTTCACGAATTGCGCCACGCATGTGTTGGACCTCATGTTGCACGACTTCGGGAAGGAGGTGACTTTTGAGTCGACTCAAAAGTCACCTCGCGCATGTGTTGGACCTCATGTTGCACGACTTCGGGAAGGAGGTGACTTTTGAGTCGACTCAAAAGTCACCTCGCGCATGAGTTGGACCTCATGTTGCACGAATTGAGTCGACTCAAAAGTCACCTCGCGCATGAGTTGGACCTCATGTTGCACGAATTGAGTCGACTCAAAAGTCACCTCGCGCATGAGTTGGACCTCATGTTGCACGAATTGAGTCGACTCAAAAGTCACCTCGCGCATGAGTTGGACCTCATGTTGCACGACTTCGGGAAGGTTCGGCCGGTGAGACGCGTCCTAGCTCAAGTTCACCGCGTGGTTATGATGGTGAAGGCCAGCGCCTCCGCGGTTGTGCTTTTCCGGACACTCTTCACCAAGTTGTCGTTGGTCCGGCCCGGTGCAACGCGTTTTGGGACCCAAGTGATAATGGTCGGCCGCTTCTTGGAAGTAAGGAGGGCGCTTCAGGCGATGGTAATTAGCGAGGAGGGGGAGCAAGTGGCTGTGGCACGGATGAAGGAGGGGCAAGCGGTCCGGACGCTCCTACTTGATGATCTGTTTTGGGATCTCGCTAGCGCAGTCCATCGCCTCATGATTCCGATCTATGAGGTGCTTCGGGCTGTTGACAAACGCTCTCTACTCATGGGGCAGATATATGGCCTAATGTTAGAGGCTACAGTCAAAACGAACGAGGCTGCAGAGGCGGCAGATAAGCGGCTTACTAATCTTGGTATAATTTAGCGTGATTCCCATCGCAAATAAGCCACAAACTTGTTCGTTGGGTTCTCCCTCCACAGCGGGACTATTCGTCAAGCGCACCGGCCTGCTGGCGACAAAGGACAAGCCGTCATTTTTGGCCACCATCAAGGCAATCGTGGCCAAGAGATGGGACGGTCAGCTACACAATCCGTTGCATGCTTTGGGGTGGCTTCTCAACCCCCGAAACCAATACCAGAATGCGGTGGGAAACGACAAGGAGGTAATGGCAGGGGCGGATGAGGTCATCCAAGCCCGTGGTGGGGACGTGGCTAAGCACGCATTGCCGTGCGCTCAGCTGACCCAGTTCCACAAGGGAGAGGGGCGGCTTGGATCACACGACGCCCGTTGGGCAGCCTCTACGTTGGTGGAGGGAGGGCGCTTGACAGACGCCAAATGGTGGTAGATGTATGGTGGGGAGGTCCAGGCGCTTCAGGAGCTGGCTGTGATGACCCTATCACAGCCAGTCACCTCTTCCGAGGTGGAACGCTACTGGTCCGCCCTTGCTCGTGTGCAGAGGCGGGACTGGAACCGCCTAGCCGCCACAAAGATGACTGACGTCACCTTTGTGGCCTTCACCAGGCGTGCACGTGAGGCTTTCGATCGCAGGCAGGTTGTGCGTGAGAAGCTATATCGTGACCTGAGCAACGGCACCCTCAAGGACGGCTGCCTCGTTCCCCCGATCGCACCAAAAGAAGAGGAAGAGGGGGCTGAAGTAGTGGAGGGAGAGGAGGAAGAATGTACCACCAATAACTGGGTGGAGTTCGGGAGCATTGGGAAGAAGAGCAGGAAGAGGAAGGCGGGAGAGTCCTCCAAGAGGAAGAGGAAGGGAAAGGGGAAGGGGAAGGGGAAGGGGAAGGGGAAGGGGAAGGGCAAAGTTTCATGCAAGGGTGTGAGGAAGGGAAAAGCTGCAGAGTGGGGGGAGGAGGAGGAGGAGGAGGAGGAGGAGGAGGAGGAGGAGGAGGAGGAGGAGGAGGAGGAGGAGGAGGAGGAGGAGGAGGAGGAGGAGGAGGAGGAGGAGGCTCCGGCGGCGGACAGCAGTGGGCGTGAGGAGGCGGCGCCCGCCAAGAACCCAAGGGGCGTCGATCCGTGGGATATCAGCGATGGTGATAGTGGGGAGGAGGAAGAGGATGAGGAGGATGACGAGGAGGAGGAAGAAGAGGATCAGTAAGGTATAGTGTAGTGGGGGGTAGAGATTAAATAAGGGGTGTTAACCCATTGCAGGCTTGTGTGGAGAGGCGGAGGAGGGGAGGAGGATAGAGTGGGGGAAAGGTTAGATTGGGAGTAGAGTAACAGTTAGCGAGGTAGTCATAGACCGTAGAGTAAGGGTAGTAGGCCATTCTAGGCTTGTCTCTCAGTTGGTCCTTATCATTCTAGGTCGTCTCAATCAATTCTTGGGAAAAAAAAAAACACCAAAAGTCCAATAAAAAACGGCAGAATTTTTGCCAAACTGGCCGTAAAAAACGATCGCTAAAAACGGACCGTTTTTTACTATGACCATCATTTTGCTCCTTGCACAAGACCATGGCCTTAGCTCTTTTGATTCGACCCAAGTTCACCTTAGTTCTTCGAAAAGCCCATTCCTCGTGCAGAGCATCCGAATCGAAAGCATAGCCCTTGCCTCTCCCTTATGCCCTCACTTTGACCCTCTCAACTCTGCTCACCTTTGACCCTCTCAACTCTGCTCACCTTTGACCCTCTCAACTCTGCTCACCTTTGACCCTCTCACGTCCTCAAATTTCCTCTCGTCTCGAACAGGAGGGAGAGGGAGCGACTGTCAACATGGACCCAGAGATAGCATGTGTCAAGGCATGTGCCCTCACCTTTGCCCTCGGTAGCCCTCCCTCCCCTTGCAGGGCGTGCGGGTCAAAGGCGTCTCGGCAGGTGAGCAGCAGCAGGCGCAGGCAGTCGCCCCACAGGAGGGAGAGAGACTTGCCAGGTCCGACAATGAAGCCCTCATGCGGCCACAGCTGGAGTGGGGGTAGAGAAGGAGAGGGAGTGAGGATGAGTGTTGACAGCAGCAGCAGCAGCAGCAGCAGCAGCAGCAGCAGCAGCAGGCGAAGAAGATCTCCCCACAAGAGAAATGAGTTGAAAATACGGAAAGGGAGGCATGACATCACAAGGGATTGAAAAGGAAGGAGCGCTGGCACAGCAGCAGCAGCAGCAGCAGCAGCAGGAGGCGTAGCAAGACATGCTGACAGCGTAACATGGCATGCTCCCTTTGGACATCCAGACGCCAGGAATTACATCCGGGAATCTCGCAGTGGGGTTGAGCGCTACGAGAAAATACAGCATCAGCACCCCACGAGTCAGCAGCAGCATATGCGTGCAGGCAGGGTGCTGCTTGAAACGAGCGTGAATAAAACAAGGGCACCACTTACAGAAGGGGATCTTGCAGTGGGGTTGAGTGCGACGAGGAAATACAGCAGCAGCACCCCACACGTCCCATATGCCCACTGACCATCCACCTCCCCTGCTCCGCTCCCTCTCTCCGTGAACTTCTCTACAATCACACTAGTTATAGGGGGCAGTTCTCCAAGCCCTTTCCCGCTCGCTATCCCCCCTATAGCCGTGCTAGCGTAACTGTACAGTGCCTGGGTGGCTGCTGACGTGGCAAAGGCCACTACAGACAAAGCTGATGACGCTTGAGACGAAATTACGCCCATAGAAGGCAAATAAGAGCTAATCCCTCCTAAAATCGCCCCTTCGCCTCCTCCCGTCCCACCTCCTCCTCCTCCTGCCCCTCCCGCTGCCCCTGCCCCTCCCCCTCCCCCCCCTCCTGCCCCCGCCATCCCCCCACTCCCCTGCCCCGGCTCCTGGGAAAGCGAGAGCAGCGAGTGAATCGTATGGAGCAGGGGAACCAGGGGCGCGTTGGCTGACGAGGCGATTCTATCCGCATAGGGATTGGAAGCTCTTCGCCAGAGCAGCAGGAGGAGGAGGACGAGTGAGGTATCGAATTCGAGGCGCTGGCGGTGGTGCGGAGGGGAGAGGGTGAGTAGGGAGAGGAGGGGGTCCGTGATGGGGTGGAGGAGCAGGTAGGAGGCGACTGGGTTGGCGTTCACGTTGTCTGTTGCAGTCAGAAGCACCAGGAAGAGCCTGGGAAGGGGGGCAGGGGAAGAGGAGGGAGAGAGAAAGAGGAGGGGGGAAAGGGATTGGCATGAGAGCAGCAGCAGCGGCAGCAGCAGCAGGAGGAGGAGGACGAGTGATGTGTCGAATTCAAGGCGCTGGCGGTGGTGTGGAGGGGAGATGGTGAGGAGCGAGAGGAGGGGGTCCGTGATGGGGTGGAGGAGCAGGTAGGAGGCGACTGGGTTGGCGTTCACGTTGTCTGTGGCGGTGAGCAGCATGAGGAAGAGCCTGGGAAGGGAGCAGCAGAAAGAGGGAGCAGATTAAGGGAGCCGGGAGAGGGAGCAGGGATGAATAAGAGGAGCATAGGGGGTTGGCGTTGACGTCGTCTGTGGCTGTGAGCAGCACGAGGAAGAGTCTGGGAAGGGGAACGAGCAGGGTGGGGAGGGAGAGGGCGGGGGGCAGAGAGCGGGGAGTGGCCCCGTGTGAGCAGCCCGGAGACATCACATCACAGCGCCTTCACTGTAGCCACTTGGTGACTATAGTAAAGGTAAACCAATACAAGGTTACTCTACCTTTTCTTGTCCCAAGTGCTTTTATGAGCACTGGCACGTATTCCCCTGTGAGTAGCCTGGCTAGCAAATTGTAAGAGAAGGAATCCCAGCTGTGTGAATCTGAGGGTTTGTATGTACACTGTAACGGTTACAGGGTTACCCTACCTGGTCCCGAGTGCCTTTATGAGCACAGGCACGTTCTCCCCTGTGAGTAGGCCAGAGACGTCACAGAAGAGCTTCTTGAGCAAGGCATCCCCACCCCACTGTGTGACTATCGTTCATACATTATGTAACAGGGTTACCCTACCTTGTCCGAAGTGCTTTTATGAGAACTGGCACGTTTTCCCCTGTGAGCAGGCCGGAGACACTGCAGATGAGTTTATGAAAGTGGGCATTCCGGGTTCATACATTACAGAGTTACCCTACCTGGTCCCGAGTGCTTTGATGAGCACTGGCACGTTCTCCCCTGTGAGCAGGCCAGAGACGTCACAGATGAGCTTCTTGAAATGAGCATCCCCGGTGTGTGAATGTACGGATGATCATAGGTTACAGGGTTACCCTACCTTGTCCCAAGTGCTTTTATGAGAACAGGCACGTTATCCCCTGTGAGCAGGCCAGAGACGTCACAGATGAGCTTCTTGAAATAGGCATCCCCACTGTCCGCGTTCCCTGCAACGAGCGTGATTATAGTGAAGGTCTGCGAGTGACAATGGGGGAAAACGGGAGGGGTGACAACGGAAAGGGGGGAGGGAGGGGTGCTAAGCCCCCTGGCAGGCTGACATGTCCCAGTCCCGTCCCACTCCGAACTATTATCCATATATTTCACACAGAAACACGCCCAGAGGGAAAATCGATTCAAACGTATGCTGTGTGGGCTGCTCGGAGGAAGCGCCATCATATTATAACCCTCTGCTGCTTCGCAAAACCTCTGCCCTCAGAAACACGGCTAAGGCTCCAATCCTAGCTCAAGGCTAGGGAACCATCCCATCACGGCACCATGCTCACCTGCTCTGCAAACCGCTTCTTGAAGATCTCCCTCAGAAACACGGCTAGGGTTTCAAGAGCATGAGCCACTCGGATGAAATTCACATCGCTCAAATATCTGGTTGGGAAAGGGGGACGAGGAGGGATGGGGGAGGAAAGGGATGGGTGAGACGACCAAAAGACGAGCGACAGGGTGTGAATTCACCTGAGCAGGGCTGCGGATTCACCTGAGGAAAGCTGTGGATTCACCTGAGGAAAGCTGAGGGTTCACCTGAGGAAGGCTGTGGATTCACCTGAGGAAGTCCGTGGATTCACCTAAGGAAGGCTGCCGATTCACCTACGGAAAGCTCTGGATTCACCTGAGAAAGGCTGTGGATTGACCCGAAGAAGGCTGTTGATTCACCGGAGACACAACTGGAAATTCACCTGAGTTGGGCTGTGATTCACCTGAGACAGGATCAAAAATCACCTGAGGCAGGCTGTAGATTCACCTGAGGCAGGCTGTAGATTCACCTGAGACAGGCTCGGGATTCACCTGAGGCAGGCTGTGAATTCACCTGAGGCAGGCTGTGAATTCACCTGAGGCAGGCAGAGAAGATCTCGTTGATGGTTGGCTTGAGAGGACCAATGAGGCGATCCTCGGGGATGGATGCGATGCACTGTGCCAGGTAGGCGTCGTTCACCTGCCTCGTTCAAGGCACGCAGAATCAAAGACACAGCAGTGAAACACAGCAGTGAGACATAGTGATGGGGTTACAGCACACAAGAGGGGACCAACGAGGCGATCCTCGGGGATGGATGCGATGCACTGTGCCAGGTAGGCGTCGTTCACCTGCCTCGTTGGGAGTGACGGAATAGTGGGACGCAGAGTCACGCAATAACGGGGACACGGGGAAGGAGGATGAGGAATCCCACAAGCAGCGAGGATTCTGAAGCGATATGGAAACGGGAAAGGCAGCGCTTTTCTGTTTCGATTTTAATCAATTTGGAAGCAAGCCGTCAAGGTTGCACAAGTGATTTCGATCTGAAGAGAGGAGTCACGATTGCTGCAAAATGTGCAGCCCAGGGAATCAGAACCGCTTACAACGCTACGCCACAACGCTACGCAGCTTCACGGTGTCGCGCCTTAGAGATTGAGTACAAAGGCAGCAGCATGGTGTGAGATAGGACCACTGGAACCTACTTTTAACAGAAGAAGTTCGTCCCAGAACCGCTGCAGCTCCTGCCGTCCTTCGAACCCTTTCTCCCTGCACGTACTGATCGGGCTACGTCCATTGAACACGTCCTCGTAACGGCAAACGAAGAGCTCTTTTAACGGAGCCTTGAGATTCGCCGCTCCACCTGCTCGAGATGTCTTGTGCGCGACCAATCCCTGGCTCCTCATGATCGGACGGTGCTGATCGCGTAAAGATCGCCGGATCAGGTAAGAGACATAAGGCTCCCGATCAATAATCAAGGGACGAAGCGAAAGGAACGGTGCGAATTCGCGAAATGTCGACGCGCATTGGCGAAGATTTCGTGCGAACTAGCAATTGGTGCGTCCAGGACGGTAATTTCGCGAATCAAAACGAAAGCCGGCCGAGGAGTAAGGCGGGCCACAGAAACGACCCCGCGCTTAGGCTTGACACGCTTCGCCTTGGACTGACAAGCCGCGATTCGCCCTAGAATCTGTCAGGTCAACCTAGAACGAACTCAAGAGCTATTGGAGAAGCTGACAAGTCTATATACGCGCTACAAGCTCCTCGGTCGACTGGGTCTGGAAGAGCAAACACGAGCTTGAGATTGGCTGAGGTGAGAATGGATGGTCGGCAAAAGTCAGATCAGCCCAGATGCAGCGATGTAGGCGAATTTGGCAGCAAAGAATTCTCCGTCAATAAGCAGGTTGTGGTGTGGAATTCAAACGAATTTCTCTGTAGATGCCAAAATCGAGGGAAACTCGATTTATAAGGCTTCGTTTGTCAGACGGAGAACTATAGCCCACTTCACGTTTGAACGTCAATACAGCATCTTTCGCACACAGCACTTCGATCACCTCATAGATTCCTGCCTCCCATCTTTCTGCCCAAAAGCAGGCTTTTCCAACGAAATTCTCAGAGACTGAACGGATTTCGGACCTATTTTCGCAGATTAGTTCCTCGGTCTCCTCAGTCTCCTTGATCCCCGGCGACCTTCACATCTCCAAAAGCGCCTCGCGGGGGCCTTCCGAGTATTATTAGCAGGATCTTGAAGCGAGGTCAGTACTTCTGAGTCTGAGGTGTTTTTAATGTTGCTGCTCCCATCTGCGCAATTCTTGCAACCCGATCTGAACCCGATGAGGTTATGGCGTTATCCTATTACGATAGTGATTAGATTCGCAAGTCATTTATTCCGCGATTTCCGGGTGAGAGCATGTATCTAATATGATCACTCAAACGACGATGAAGTGAGCATCGAGATTCCACCCTGTAGCTGCCTGAATTCGCGTCGACAGCAGTTTCCATGATTCATCTGCCAGTACTCGCTAATCTCTTGAGTCTAACGCAGACTTGACTCAAATTAGGAAAAAGAGCTGTTAGTTAGAACCTCAATATGGTTAGATTCGATTAGATTCGGTTCGTTAGATCCTGGGCAAGTCTTTCCGTCCTTGTTGCCAACAAATTCTGAATCTCTGCAGTGTGTTTGTATCGAATACTGATTGCCTGTAGCGCGCTTTTGAATATTTCCTGCATGCAGTGTGCTTGTTGCGGATCCTCCTTTATCGCCGCCATGAGTCGCGGGTCGGGAGCAGGGTACGATCGTCACATCACCATCTTTTCACCCGAAGGCCGCCTCTACCAAGTTGGTTCGTCGCTTTTCACGCCCTTGACTCTCCGATACGCACTCCCTCCATTCCCCATCCTTTCCTTCCGTCACGCTTCCCCCGTCTCCCTCCCGCCATCTCTCTCTCGCTCCCTCCCTTCTTCCCTCACTCATATCACCATCTTCTCGCCCGAAGACCGCCTCTACCAAGTTGGTTCGTTTCTTTCATGCTCGACTCCGTAATTCCCTTTTTTTTTTCCAACCTTCCCTTTCCTTCTCCCGCTCTCCCTCTTTCTCGCTCCTTCCCTCTTGCACTCAGTTATCACCAACTTCGCCCGAACTCCACCTCTACCAAGTTGCTGCCCTCAACCACTCGATTCCCTATTTCTTCCTCCCTTCCTCCCTCCCTCCCTCCCTCCGTCCCACTTCGCCTCGCCCCTTCACCCTCCGTCACATCACTTCCTCCTCCGCTCCTTCCTAAATTCCTTCAAGGTATATTTCTCGATCGTGAATTACGTTCTCATATTGCCGCTCCTCCTCTTCTTCTTCTCTTACCGTCCTCCCTTATGCCCCACCCGTTTCACCAGAATATGCCTTGAGGCAGTCAAGTCGGTTGGAGTAACACCAATTGCCGTGCGAGGCACGGATTCAGTCTGATTGTTCCTTTTCCCTTCCTCCCTTCCGCACCCGCCCTCTTTTCCCTTCCCCTTTCCACCAGAATATGCTTTCAAGGCGGTCAAGTTGGTTGGAGTAACATCACATCATTTGCCGTGCGAGGCACGGATTCAGTCTGATTGTTCTTTTTCCCTTCCTCCCTTCCGCACTCGCCCTCTTTTCCCTTCCCCCTTCCACCAGAATATGCTTTCAAGGCGGTCAAGTCGGTTGGAGTGACGTCCATCGCAGTGCGAGGCAAGGATTCAGTGTGCTTCGTGACTCAAAAGAAGGTCCCTGTAAGTGCGCGCTCTCCTTTTGCATTGAGATTCCAGAATAAGGATTTCGTGTGCTTCGTGACTCAAAAGAAGGTCCCTGTGAGTGTTCTTTCTCGCTCGCGCTCACCGCTCGGTTCTTTAACATCATTATCACAACCCAATCAACCAAGCGGAACTCGGTGTGATTCATGATGAAAAGGGAGATCCCTGTAAGTGCTCGTTTGCTCGCATCAGGACAAGCTGACAGACAAGACCAGCGTCAGAAACCTGCTTTCGCACCCCGACTTTCGCTTAATCTTCCCCCCCCCCCCCCCCCCCCCCCCCCCCTGCTCCCTGTTCCTTCGCCTCGCCCTTCCTCCCCTCCCACCTGTGTTTTTCCCGCTCTGTCATCAGGACAAGCTGACAGACAAGACCAGCGTCACGAACCTGTTTCTCTGAACTCCAACCCTTGCTCAATCCCCTTCCCCTCTCCCTCCCGCCCCTCCCCCGTCTCGGCAATCATTTTTTTCCCGCCCCGTCATCAGGACAAGCTGATAGACGAGACCAGCGTCACGAACCTGTATCCAGTCACCAAAGGCATTGGCATGCTGGCGACAGGCCTCACAGGTGCGTGTGAGGTGGGTGAGAGTTGCGTGTGAGGTGCATGTGAGGTGGGTGGGAGGTGGGTCACACAGGTGGGTCAGAGCCGTCACGAACCTGTTCCCGGTCACCAAGGGCATTGGCATCTGGCAACGGGCCTCACAGGTGCGTGGGAGGTGGGTGAGAGTTGCGTGAGAGGTGTGTGGGAGGTGGGTGCGAGGTGGGGCGGAGGTGGGTCACACAGGTGGGTTAGAGGCGTCACGAACCTGTACCCGGTCACCAAGGGCATTGGCATGCTGGCGACAGGCCTCACATGTGTGTGGGAGAGTTGATGTCATCAATCAAGCACTGGTCAATTACACCAGGGTTACCACTTTTTTTTATCTATCTCCTCTCCCTTGCCGCCTGCTCTTCTCCTCCGTGCCGACGCGAGATCAATAGTTTTGTGGGCTCGTTACGATTCTGAAGGGGTGCAAGTTATTGAAGATCCCTGAGGGCATCAACCGGCTGACGAAGCTTCAAGAGCTATGCATCAGGTATTGCAGCGATCTGCGAGAGATTCCTGAGGTTATTACGGGTCTCAAGCGTCTGGAACGCTTGCGTGTTGAGGGCTGTGCGAGCCTTGATTGGATGCTTAACGATGCTCGTACAGCTTTCAACGCGCAAGCTCTCCAGGCGCCTGAGAGCCGTAATGGCCTCGGGAATCTCCAGCACTTCGCTGCAATAGCTGATGCAGAGCTCTTGAAGCTTCGTCAGCCCGCTGATACCCTCAGGGATCTCCGACAACTTGCATCCCTTCGATTGTTTAACCCCAATCCCCACATCTTTTCACCCCTTCCCACTTCTACCTTCCGTCTGTCCTCTCCCGTCTTTCTTCAGCCGACGCGAGATCGTTGGTGCTGAGGGCCCGCCACGAGGCGGCGGAGTTCCGGTTCAAGCTGGGATATGACGTGCCTGTGGACTACCTGGCTAGAAGGTGTGTTGAGGAGTGCTTTGTGGTGCTGTGTGGTACTGTGCAGGGCTGATTTGGGTTAAAGTGGAAGGTACTTTATCATGAGACACGAGGCGGCAAGGTTTCGGTTCAAGCTGGGGTATGACGTGCCTGAGGACTACCTGGCTAGAAGGTGATGCGCTGTGCTTAGTGGTACTGTGCGGTGCTGGTGGGTTGGGTGGCAGTGTGGGTGGGCTGTATTGGTGGGCTTGTGCTGGGAGGCAGGCAGGCATGAGCCACGAGGTGGCAGAGTTCCGGTTCTAGCTGGCTGGGTAACGACGTGCCTGTGGACTACCTGGCTAGAAGGTGTGTTGAGGGGTGCTGTGTGGTGTTGGGGTGGGGTTGAAAGCACCATCTGTGGGTTCAAGCTGGGGTACGACGTGCCTGTGGACTACCTGGCTAGAAGGTGTGTTGAGGGGTGCTCAGTGGTGCTGTGTGGTATGGTATGGGGGTGGGGTAGAAGAAGGTATTGTAGCATGAGTGACGAGGCGGCAGAGTTCCGGTTCAAGCTGGGGTACGACGTGCCTGTGGACGACCTGGCTAGAAGGTAGGTAAGAGGATGTGTGCTGAGGGGTGCTCAGTGATACTATGTGGTGCTGGTGGGCTGGTAATGAGGGCTCATCACTCGCTAGTAGGTACTGTGTTGGATGGATGGCAGTGTGTGTGGGTTATGGTGACAAGTGGGGTGGGTTGTGTGCGGTAATGCGTCGTGCTGCTATGTTACCATCCTTCAATGTAGTGCCCCGAAAATTCCCTTTCTTCCCACTTCCCGCCCTCTCTTCCCCACTTCCTCTTTCCCCTCCCCTGTGTGTGTGTGCAGATTGGCGGACATGGCTCAGGTGTACACGCAGCAGGCATACATGCGACCTCTGGGCGTGGGTGAGTGTGCTCCTGTGTGAGGGTATGAGTGAGCAAGTTAGTGAGCGAGTGTGTGGGTGGCTGGGGAGTACACACAGGTGGCATACATGCGACCGCTGGGAGTGGGTAGGTGACTGGGTGAGTCAGCAAGTTCGTAAGTGAGTGGGTGGGTGTCACAAGTGTACACACAGCAGGTATACATGTGACCGCTGGTCGTGGGTGAGTGTGCGTGTGTGTGATTGAGCGTGTGTGTGAGTGATTGAGTGAGCGAGTGGGTTACACACATGCCATGTCACACGCATGCCACGTCATGCACATGCCACATCACACACATGCCACGTCACGCACATGCCACGTCACGCACATGCCACGTCACGCACATGCCACGTCACGCACATGCCACATTACGCACATGCCATGTCACACACATCCCATGTTGTGCACGTGCCGTATCCCACCCCGTTTAGCTAGCCACGTTTCTGATCAGCATTGACGATAAGTTTAGTTGAGCCCCATGCTGTGCAAGTGGAGCAAGTATGCATGCAGCCATGTTCCTGCCTTCCCTGCTTCCCCCCTTTCCCTCTCTCCCCAAAACCCTTCGTCCCCAGCCACCATGCTGATCGGCATTGACGATGAGTTTGGCCCCATGCTGTACAAGTGTGATCCAGCTGGCTACTACGTCGGTTACAAGGTGCGTGCAGCTATCACGTTACCATGTAGCATAGTGTGTTCAGGTGCCCAGTACCCTCTGAGCTCATTCAGCCCAATGCTGTACAAGTGCGATCTAGCTGGCTACTATGTTGGTTACAAGGTGCGTGCGGTTACCAGGTAGCACAGTGAGTTCAGCCCAATGTTCTGCAAGTGCTACCCAGCTGGGTACTACCTCGGTTACAAGGTGCGTGCGGTTACTGTGTTACCATGTAGCGCCAAGTACCTTACAAGATTTGACGATGCTGTACAAGTGCGCCTAGCTGACCAATACGTTGGTTACCATTGATTCATTCACCAACGTTTACCGCATTGCATCTCACTGCACCACACCAGGCCACAGGGGCAGGAGCCAAGGAGCAGGAGGCGATAAACTTTCTGGAGAAGAAGCTAAAGGACGGGAAGCACCAGAACCTGACAGCAGATGAGGCAGTGCAGGTGAGCGCAGAACCCCGCAGTACCGCACTGTACCACATCTCACCACGTTTCACCGCACTGTATCTCGTTATACCCTGTGCTGTGGCACCAATAAGCACTTTGGAGAAGAAGCTAAAGGACGGGAAGCACCAGAACCTCACATCAGACGAGGCGGTGCAGGTGAGCGCAGTACGGCGCTCTACCGCATCATACCTCATCTCACCGCATTTCACCGCACAGCATTTCACTTCACTCCGTGGCACGAATAAGCTCTTTGGAGAAGAAGCTCAAGGATGGGAAGCACCAGAATCTGACATCGGACGAGGCAGTGCAGGCGAGGAGAGGACAAAACCCTGCAGTACCGCACTGTACCACATATCACCACTTCTCACCACATTTCACCACACAGCATCTCTCATCACCCTGTAGCTACAATAAGCACTTCAGGGAAGAATCTCAAGGATGGGAGGCAGCAGAACCTGACAGCAGACAAGGTAGTGCAGGCGAGGAGAGGACGAAACCCTGCAGTACTGCACTGTACCGCATCTCACCACTCCTCACCACATTGCACCGCACAGCTCATCACCCTGTAGCTCCAATAAGCACTTGGGGAAGAATCTCAAGGAGGGAGGCAGCAGAACCTGACAGCAGACGTAGCGCAGGCAAGGAGAGGACAAAACCCCGCAGTACCGCACTGTACCGCATCTCACCACTCCTCACCACATTTCACCGCACAGCATCTCTCTTCACCCTGTAGCATCAATAAGCACTTCGGGGGAGAGGCCCAAGGATGGCAAGCACCAGAACCTGACAGCAGATGAGGCAGTGCTGGTGAGCGCAGAACCCTACAGTACCACAATTCACCACGTCTCACCACGTCTCACCACATGTCACCGCACAGCATTTCACTTGACCCTGTGGCACCAATAACCTCGTTGGAGAAGACACTGAAGGATGGGAAGCACCAGAACTGCAGCACCTCACAGCACCGCATTCCACTGCATCTGACCCCACTCCCCCCACCCTTTGCACCCTCTCCCACCTCAGTTGGCCATTTCAGCGCTGCAAGGTGTGCTGTCAGAAGACATGAAGGCGACCGAGATCGAGGTGAGGGGGGGTGACGAGGGGTGACGAGGGGTGACGATGGGTGAAAGGTTAGAAATAGTTGCTGTTTTCTCATCAACTGCATTGGCAGCATCTCATCTCAGCACTGCAAGGCGTGCTGTCAGAACACATGAAGGCGACCGAGATCGAGGTGAGGGGGAGTGATGATGGGTTGGGCTGAATTGTCATTCATGGTAAGCTCAGCAACAGCGGCATCAAAGCTCAGCACACGACGGCATGCCCGAGCATCATAGCGCTGCAAGGCGTGCTGTCAGAAGACTCGTGTCAGAAGACTCGTGTCAGAAGACTCGTGTCAGAAGACTCGTGTCAGAAGACTCGTGTCAGAAGACTCGTGTCAGAAGACTCATGTTAGAAGACTCGTGTCTTCTGTCAGAAGACTCAAGGCAAACGAGATCGAGGTGAGGCGGGGATGACAATGGGTGCAGAGGTAAGACAGGAAGGTTGGGTGCGGACTGTCAGTCGTAGTAAGCAGAGCATCAGCAGCGTCTCATCTCAGCGCTGCAAGGCGTGCTGTCAGAAGACATGAAGGCGACCGAGATCGAGGTGAGGGCAATCCCCCAATTAGCATCATTTCAAAGACCCATATCTGATTAGCATACTTCAGCAGCACCTCTCAGAGAAGAGAATGGATGCTCCTAAATTTCCCACTTGATTTTAGTTAATGGATGCACAACTTTCTAAATTGTGTGTTTCCAAATTGCACATCTGCAGGTGGGGTTGGTTGAGGCCAAGGGAGAGACGGCCTTCAGAACGCTCTCTGTGGATGAGATCGAAGCGCATCTGACAGCCATTAGCGAACGCGACTAAACGAGATGGAACATCTGGTGGTGTTAGCGAATATGCCCTAATGAGAATAAAGCCCGTCTGACTGCTGATTGTGATTGGACTAAATGATTTTGAAATCCGTTTGAAGGGCCTCTCTGTAAGTCGTCGGATGAAGCACATATCTATCGACATCATGCTCAGAGAATGCATTTGCAAGATAGCATCATGATGTTAGGGAGAGTTTTCAGGAAATTATGTGGTTATTCTCAGAACCTAAGAAGCTAAGGAAGTAAGTTAGGTAGAAGGGATGATGTCACTAGGAAGCATAGGGTACAAGTGACGAGGGTTGATAGAAATCATGTACCCTCTAAGAACTACCTCAGCAGTCTATCTAAATGATATAAACACACTTGACACACCCACATAGGCTAAGTACGGTAAGGGGCATCAAAACAAAACTGAAGGAACAAATGGTCACCAGATTGAGTGAAAAAAGCAACAATGCAAAGCTCAGGGTTCGCAAACTCACCACACAATCTGAGCACAAGCAGGTAGCCACAAGGCCAGTCAAGTGTTTACATAAATATATATATGCATATAAGTACAATAAGAAACAATAAGCTAGATTATAATAACCGAGGGCCAACGTCAACTAGGCCTAGCTGCAGACAGAACCTGTGGTGGTCACCACGCAGAAGGGCCTTGGTGAAGATGTCTGCAGTGTTGGCCTCTGACTCAACGAAGTCTAAGTGTGCCTGGCCGCGTCGCTGCAACTCTCGTAGGAGAAAATACCTCACGTCGATGTACCGTATCACCCCGGATATAAGCGCAGGCCTATGTTAAGCGCATGCGCTTATATCTGGAGCAATGCGCTTATGGCCGATCCTCGATTATAAGTGCACCCCCTGTAAAACCTTGACTTATTATAAGCGCATCAATAATTCTACAGTTCAATCCTAATTAATACAGTAACGATTTCCCTTTTGCAGCGAGTCCAAATCCGTTTCTACTTCGTTTGACTCGCTCGAGGCGAGCGATTGCAGGAGAAAGAAGCGAAACGGCGTGAAGATGACTGACTGACAGCACATCGTTGGGAGGGGGGGGGAGGGAAGATGGGCGCTGGAAATGACTGTCCTGTGCGTTGTGCGAGAGAAAAAGGGGCAGGCGGGGGGGCTCGGGAACGACTATGCCTCTGCGCTGCGAGCAAGCGTCTCCGTGCGACTGGCTCGTACATTGGTTCGGGGCGAGCTTGACACATCCCTCTGCGCTGTGACGTGTCCTCGCCCCTGTGCGGCGGCAGAAATCGCCCTCGCGCGATTCTTTGATTTGGGACGCTGTAATGTTCTGATTCGATTGAAATTGCACGACTGAGATGTACAGTTTGGTGAATTTAAAACATATTTCTGCAATTGTCATATTATAAGCGCATGCGCTTATAATTCTGACTCAATTAGAAGCGCACCCCCCCAAAAAACACTGTTTTATTATAAGCGCACGTGCGCTTTTATCCGGGGCAATACGGTACCTCACGTCGATGTGCTTCACTCTGCTCTCCAGTCGAGGCTCTCGACACAGGAGGATCATGGCCTTGTTGTCAGCGAACAAGGTCGATGCAGAGCGAGGTTGCTCACCAAGGTTGGTAAGCAAGAAGGTCAACCAGCGAAGCTCCTGCGCAGCCATGGCACCGGCGTAGATCTCTGCCTTAGCACTAGACGAAGCCACAAACGACAACTGTGTGGACTTCTACGACACAGCTCCAGCACCCAAGCTAAAGCAGTGTCCCTGAGTAGACCGCTGAGTCTCAACGTCGTCGGCGTAGGAAGAATCGCAGTGACCGGTGAGAACGACTTGCTTTCTCCCTCCAAGCACAAGCCTTATGCCAGATGTAGTCGCCAGGTAATTTGCCACCCTCACAACAGCTGTCCAGTGAACAGGACAGTGTCTCCCAGTCCCAACAAAACGAGAGAGGACGCGGAGAGGAAAGGCGAGGTCCGGACGAGTACAAGTTATCAGGTGCATGAGGCAACCCACAAGCTCTTTGTAGGGACCACTAGACTCAAAAGGCTCGTCGGGAAAAGGGTCGATGAGTCTGTGGTCAACACCAAGAGGAGTGGGCTGTGTGGTGCAGTGCTGAAGCCCAAACTGTGCCGTGTGACTGTGAGAGTGTAATGGTGCAAGCGGCTCTGGCCCTAGTGATCTGCAAGCCAAGGTAGCGGCGGAGCTCACCAAGGTCAGTGCACGTGTGTCTCTTCTGCAGTTCGGACTTCACCTCAGCCAGAGCGACCCTGTCTGCTATAGCAAAGACCAAGTCGTCAACGTAGACGAGGACGAAGAAAGGTGTGGGCCCAGAACGAACGAACATCGACAGGTCGGCGGACGAAGGACGAAACCCGAGGGCAGCAAGAGTGGTGCGCAGCGTGTTGTGCCACTCACGGGGCGCCTGGCGGAGACCGTAGACTGGTCACCTCAGGCTCCACTGGGTCCTAGGCGGGAAAGTTCCAGTGAAGCCGGGAGGACGGCGCAGCCAGATCTCCTCGTGCAGGCTGCCCTGGAGAAAGTCGGTGGAGAAGTCGAGGGAGTGCAGCTCATAGTCTCGCTGTGCTGCAACGTGGAGTAACACCCGAAGAGTGGTCATCTTCGGGGTCGGTGCGAAGGTATGAAAGAGGTCGACTCCCTCGCGATGACTGAAGCCTCTAGCCACGTAGTGCGCCTTGAAGACCAGCGGTGATCCCGGCGGCCGCTTCACCTTGAAGAGCCACATGCCATCGACTACGTTCACCCTAGGCGTGGGAACTGCGTCGATGAAAGTGCTTGTGGATCTCCAAGACGCCATCTCCGACTCCATGGTTGCTATCTACTAAGAGGCCCACTGCCCTGACGCTGCCTCACGATACGTGCGAGGAGTCCGTATGTCAAGGGCGTCGGGGTCTCTCTCAGGGGCTAACAGCATGGCACAGGATGAGGAGAAGCGGCTGCCAGGAACTCCAGCTTAAACTGTCTGTCCTCTAGGACGTCACATCCAAGGGCACACTCACCCCCGACGGATAGAGGACGGGCAGACACCACTCGGGTGGCGTAGTCAAGGCGGCGGGTGGCGGCAAAGTCAGCGACAACAGCAGTAAGAGTCGAGACAGACGACGGAGAGGCACGAGGGTCCGTGACTAGAGAGGCAAGAACACGAGTGACAACTGGACGGGTGGCACGATAGTAGTCAGTGATAGGGGTAGAGGTGGAGGCTGTAAGAGATGACTCGGAGGTGACAGGAGAACAGACCGAGGTGGAGAAAGATGAGGACTCGAATGAAATAAGACAGTGCGGAGGACATCAAGGGTAGACGAGGGACGTGGACGGGCGGGACTATCAACGGGAGTTGTGTGTTTGCCCCGTCCTCGCTTGGGCGGAGCCGACTTCGTGGTTGGGTGTGAGGGGAGCAGCCGACCTGCAGCAGTGGGCGAGCTGGTTGACGAGGAGGTCGACCTGTACGGGGGCCACTTCACGGGCGCTGACTTCAAGGTGGCGCCGACTTCAGGGTGGCGCCGACTTCAGGGAGGTCGACCTGGGAAGTCGACCTATGGAGGGCGTCAACTTGGTGACGCCAACTTGGGGGCAGCCGACTTGGTGGTCGGCTGACAGGCCTTCTGGTCGACTTGGTGGTTGGTCGACCAGGTGTGATGTCCACCTGGTGGTCGACCTGACCTGGTGGTCGATGGAGGAGTGGCCGACGTCGACCTCGACTCAGGACGCCGAGCAGTTGGGCGTCAAGTAGCAGGGCGTCAAATTGGTGACGCCGACTTCGGGTAGCCGACCTGGAGCTGGTCGGCTGACAACTGCGCTGGTCGACATGGAGCTGGTCGACCAAGAGTGACGTCAACCTGGAGTTGGTTGACTAGGGGTGTGGTCGACCTAATGAGGTCGACTTGGAGGTGGTCATTGACTTGGGAGGTTGACGGGCACATACGGTAGCACCTGGTCGACGTGGTTGCTCGGTTGACCAGGTTACCTGGGTGACGAGGTTCTGCGGAGGAGTGCGACTGTCGCCCAGGCAAAGTTGGCGAGTCCGACCTCGGTGGTGGTATCCCGACGTTGACGTGGCTGATCAGATGCACTCGCCAGCGCCAGGTTGACTTGGTGTGTGCGCTGTGCAGGTGACAAGGCTCAGCGCGCGAATCATCTGCGAGCACCTGCGAAGCTAGTGCGATGCTGTACTGCGGGAGCTG